GGCACCCTGATGAGTTTAAAGAGCAGAAACTACAGAGGCCTGATGAATCATGGTCCTTATCCATACTAACAGATTACTTTGTGTGTCTTATCATGTTCTGACTTGTCCAGACAAGTCTTTGTAAATATAATAAGAAATCAGTGATATATTTTTTCATTATTTTGCTTGCATGGAACCCAAAATGTAAACCTTGTACTTAAAATCTGACTTTTCCTACTATTTCATTTGTATTAGACATAGCAAAATTCTAACCTAGCTATGCCAGTTAATCTGGAGAACATGAGAAGAAATCAGTCTACATTACGGACAATAAAGTATCCACTCTATTGTATCATATCCTAGAAAAAATGCTTGGATCCATCCATCACAGATCGAAGCCTTGAATGAAAAGAGAAATGCCAGTTGTTCAGTTTGGTTTTAGAAAAAGAAGACATGTCCTTCATTTACTATAGAAAGGTGTTTAATTGTGTGAATCATGTGAAGCTGTGGAATGTCCTTAGAGAAATTACACAGTTCATTTTCCTCATGTAAAAACTGCAGAAGACAAGAAGTAAAAGTATGATAGAAAACAATGAAACAAACTGTCTCAGTTTGGCAGAGGAGTGGGCCAAGCCTCCTTGGCTTATTCAATTTGAATACTGAATATATATTGATAGAAAATGGTTTGGAATATGAGTAGTTTTAAAATTGGAGGAAGAAAAATCAATAATTTGCACAATAATAGTAATACTTTGATAGCTGAAAAATGATATGGATGCTTTTACTGTGGAACTAAACACAGTGTAAGCATGGGACTACGATTAAATATTACAAATGTAAAGTAATGACAACAGCTACCTTTAAAGCTGACAATGAAAATATTAAAGTGGGGAGTGGCTTCTATCTTTTAGGATTGACTATCAGCAGTAAAAAAAACAAACCAGAAATGAGGGTAATCAGTGGAGAGTTTCTAAAGAAGAAATGAAGGTGAATAGCACAGAGTACATAATTATAAGAGCTAAAGGGTCAGTTTCATCCTGGAAAGAATCCATATAAATCCTGGGAGTTAAACTCAATCATGTTATGTGATGTATTGTGACTTTTTTCCCTTTGCTGAGCCAGGGTGGGCGTGGCCTGAGCATGACGCATTCCCTGCCAGCTTCCAGTTTGACATCCCTGATGTATGACAATGAGTCAACAAAGAATTTATGGTAATAATGAAATGATTTAAACATGGACAGCACTATCTCTAATCCATAAGGGCAAGTAATCTGACATGTAGATCTGCCAAAGGAAATACATTTCATCTTACTTTTCAAAACACTGTGCCATGTTTGGGATATAGAAGAGACAAAAGATAGCAGATATCCTCAGAAGCACATAAACTTTATCTAATTTTCTAATTGACCAAATTATTGATTCTGTAATGTAAATTTCTCTTGCTATTTTCATAGCCATCTATTACACTGAAAAAAATTGATAATTTAATCATATTTGTTGTCTTTGAAATAATATGATGCTTCATGATCTTATTTATGTCTAACAAGGTGTCTAATCTTGGGATGACCAAAGCTATTACAGGAAAAGGTCCTTAGTTCAAGTATGCAGGGAATTAGAAGACTCAAAAATAACTCCATCCTAATTATATTAGGCATAAGTTAATCTGGGAGTTGCTTTGGTAGGTAGCACCAAATGACAGTTTTCTGCTAAAATTACTCAAATAGCAATAAAGATATCTTCAGAAATTTAAGTTGTTTTCTAGGTTTGTTAGCCTCACAGGTGATACATGTCTCTGTTATTGCCTTTTGTTTACTTACTTTTCCACATCACTTCTCATTTTTAATAAATTCTTGTAAGATTTTACATTCAGTTTACAGAGTTGTTTCTCTGCATTTTTGAAATTGTTCGTTTGTTAGCATTCTATTTTGAATCCAAATGTCCTCTATTGCAACCTGCCATTCTTATAACACATGAACTGTATTAATTAAACAAACATAAGGAGAATGTGCAATCTTCCCTAATGTAATCCATACATTTAAAACCAAATGGAAAAGGGAGTGTGCTGTAAAACAAAATCCCAAATCAAATATGTTTCCAATTATATTTTTTTAACCTCATAAATGCTAGGAATTAGGAAGTTGAAAATTATTATAGAAAGCAACCAATACTTCATTGCGATAACCCTAAATGTTTGGGGACAAATTACCGTTTTTCCTGACCTTCCCTCAAAAATAAGCCTGATTTTTGGGGTGGGCCTAATATAAGGCCTACCCCAAAAATAAGCATAGTGAGCTACAGTGAAAATTGGATCAACTTTATACCTATGGCTGAATACCATCTCACATATGGAAAACTTTGAACAGATTGAGAACAGGGATATCATGATGTAAGAAGAATTTGGAGACTTGGGGCTATATCACAGGAGATGGTAACTGCAAATTGGAGAAATTTATTTTATTTATTTGTCAAGCAAGTATTAGATAACAGGTATAAGTATAAGCATGGTTATGAATACATGAAATGGATACAAATAAAAAAAGAAACAATAGGACAAGGATGGTAAGCAAGTTGGTACACTTATGCATGCCCTCTACAGACCTCTTAGAAAAGGGTCGAAGTCAATAGTAGACATTCTAAGGTTAAAGTTTTTGGGGTTTGGGGAAGAAACCACAGAGTCAGGTAGAGTATTCCAGACATTGACCACTCTGTTGCTAAAGTCGTATTCCCTGCAATCAAGTTTGGTGCGGTTTACCTTGAGTTTATATCTATTGTGTGCTCTTGTATTGTTGTGGTTGAAGCTGAAGTATTCATTGACAGGTAGGACATTGTTGTAGATAATTTTATGTACTATACTTAGATCGGACCAAAGGCAGTGTAGTTCTAGATTGTCTAGTTCTAAAATTTCAAGTCTGGTGGCATAAGGTATTCTGCTACGAGTAGAAGAGTGGAAAACTCTTCTCGTGAAATATTTCTGGACTTTCTTGACTATATTAACATCCGATATGTAATGCAGATTCCAGACTGATGAGCTGTATTCAAGTATTGGTCTAGCAAATGTTTTGTATGCTCTAGTTAGTAGTGTGATATTACCGGAGAAAAAGCTACCCAGGATTAGGTTAACAACTCTTAATGCCTTTTTGGCTATGTAGTTACAGTGGGCTCTAGCACTTAGATCATTAGAGGTGAGTACTCCAAGGTCCTTGACATAGTTGGGATCATCAACAAGGTCTTGATTACTCAGCTTGTATTTTATTTTCTGATTTTTGTTGCCAATATGTAAGACAGAACATTTGTTTGTTGAATTCTGAACATTTATTGATATGTCACAATTTTGATGGATTATTTACAGTGGACGGTTTATTCCTGGCCAATGATAAAGCTATCCAAGCCACTACTTTCTGGGCCTCAAATACTATATAATGTCACATATATGTTTTAAATTTTTTCTGTTTTAATTTTTAAATTCTTTATATAGTTGTTGAAAGCTTTATTTAGATTATTATACTAATTTTAAATATAATTCTCTTTTTAATGTAAAATGTTTTGAACTTGTAAAATAAAAATAAATAATCTTATATATACTGTGCTATTTTCACAATGGAGTTATATGATGTTATTTCCTAAAATGTATTTAGCTGCTAAACTGAAAAAGATAAAGAAATATTGGGGCGATTTAGAGAAAAAATGGGAAAACAGTAATGTTAGGAGCCCAATTTATCAATTTATCTTATGGTAAATGGAAGATGTCTACATCCACCATGGTAGACATTGTACGAGAATCTCTTTAACAAGCTCTCAGAATTCCAGTCTTGAAAATTAATTTTGATAGTGGCTGAGGATCAAAACTGAGAAATTATTGTTGGCAAATATTTATATATTAAAAAGTCAAGGTTGAAACTTTGCTTCTGTTAGTATAAACTTGTAGATTTCATAGAAGACAGCTGAGGTTGCTATAATCTAGAATTACAGAATCTAGAATTTCAAGTACAGAAAATGGTACAAAGCAGGTGCCAGAATTTCTGCAATATTCCACAATAGTACCTGTGGACTTCCAAATTGAAATTATTTTTTTAAAAAGAGATTTTTTTTACAATTCAGTTTATCTCTTATCCACATGAGGAGATCATTTCTAGTGTATCTATTCACTAGAAAGGAGCATTTAAACCTTCATTTCTGTTTGCTGATGTATATAAAAATTGAAATATAATGCGTATGTTCCAACTAGGTAATGGTTAGTATCCATTGGGGGAGAAGAATGACTAAAGCAGCTTTGCAGCATTGCATGCAAGCCCCCTCTTTTGTACTGTACATAGTGATATTGCATGTATGTACAAAGGTGGTGTGTAAGGTGGTGTGATTCTGTTTCCACCTTTTGACAAAAAGAACAAGATACTGCTGATGCCCTTGATAGTCTGTAGAGATTTTCAGTCATCCAGGTCATGGTTATCCCAAAGGTGCTATTTTTCCGGAGGCAACTGGACTTTCTTGTTTTTTCTTTTGCAGACGTTTCACTTCCCATCCTCTGACAGGATATTGGGGAATGGAGTACTACACAGATAAACCTCCAAGTGCTTCAACAACCCTCTAAAAGGATGCAAATTACCAGCTGTCTGCAAGGAATATAAATCCTTCCATTCCCCACTATTCTGTCAGAGCTGAAGAAGTTTCTTGGGTGAGAAGCAAAACGTCTTTAAAAGAAAAAAAAAGTATCAAGGGCACCTTTTTTTTTCTTTTGGACAATTTATCGCTCAGAGGTTAAGCCACAGATATATGGCATGTTGCTGAGAATGGAGCCAAGAGAACAAAACATTTATATAGGAGGATTTCGTCTGTGGCTTTTTCCTGTGTAAAATAGCAGATTTGGGGCTATAGAATGTAAACCAGATGTCAGCATCACTGGTTTATTTGCTGCCAGTTTTTTTTAACTACTACATATTTTTGTAGCTTCGGTAATTCTTTCGCTGCAAGCACCAATATTTTTGGCATATGCTATATTCATCCCCTCCCTTTTTATCTTTCAGATTACAGACTTGTGTGGTGCTAAACATGTCGGTTATTTTGGTCGTACTCAGTTTTATGCTGCTATGAAGCTTATAGCTGCTGCACAGTCTGGTCTCCCAGTACGAATAGAAAGTATTCAGAATGGTAACTGATTATACTCAATTGCTTTACTTTGAACAATTGTATTTTTATTTAATAAATAAAATAAAATTTAATATTTTATTTAACATATTTATTAAATGGTCTTTATGTTTTGTAAAAAATTTGCAAAACACCATGGAAGAAACTATAAATGACTAGAGGGAAGGGAAAACTAATAATAAGCAAACAGGGAAAAAATCATCTCAGTAAAAGCTGAATAGAGCCTGTTGTACTAAAAAGTTTAATAGAAATTTCATTTTATGAATTCAGGCTCATTAATATCCTGTTTATGAAAACTCAGTATAGTAGAAGTAAGACTGCAGAACTTTAAAAAGCTACATCACTAATTAAACTATTCCACAAATATAAATCTATTTCTTTTTTTAAACAAATTTTATTAATTTTCAAAGACAATACACAAACAAACAAAACATAAAACAAAAAAACATAAAACATCTTTTCTGAAAGCTGCTTGATCCCGGGTTACATCTCTTCATACAGACACAAATTCAAATTCATGTTCATTTTATATACCATTCCATATCTTATTAACATTTTCCATTTTCTATATAGCTTCTCGCCTCTTTTAACTTTCTTAGTTTTATTTTATTTATCTCATCTCAGTTCAGATCATTATGCTTATTATTCTTTGTCTGTTCTGTTTCCAGCTATCGATCTTTTCTCTTTAAACAAAATTTCTCCTGTACACTAATTGGAGTGTGACGCCTTTAACTCTTTCCCCTAAATTTATAACACTTAGTATAGTACATAAATTCCATTGGGATTCTGTTTAGTACATTCTAAAGTCAACTATCCATGCCAATTCAAATCTATCATTAATATTAATATTCATTTAAATCTTAAACATTTTACACATTACTTTTCAATTGAATATCATTCTTTTATGGGAACACTTATACTTTCCATAGTTATTTCCCCCCACATCACTTATATTTTAAATCATTGTATCATTAAAATGTTCCCATTTCCTCCTACTTCAATTCTCTCATTTATTTCATTGCCTTCCTTTTATTCACAAAAATTTCACTAAGTTACACTGAATATTTTATCTCATTTTTTGATCACATGTTGTTTCCAATTTTCTAACATTATTTCTAAGTACAAATATAACAATACAATCTTATGTACCTTTGCAGAATCCCTTTTTCAATTAAATTTTACCCATTATCTCTAAATAAATCTTGTTTCTTTACATCTTGCTCCACACCATTGAGGCTTCTCATCCCTTCCTTCCTCCCTTGCTGCTTCTTCTCCCTGCCCTTTTTACCCCCTTGTCTCTCCACCTCCCTTTTCTTCTTCTGCATTCCCCCTTTCTGTTGTTTTCTAACATATCCATTTTTCACCTTATTTTTCTCTTTTTTGGTTGTTTTTTTAAATCTTAAAGTCCCCTTTTTCTTTTCCTCCTTCTCCCTTTCTTCCCCAAATAAAGTTACTTGTTCATCAAAGATGGCTTCTTCTTTATCCCAATCATCTTGTTGCACAGTCAGTTTCTCATAGGTGCAAATCGCCATTTCTAAGAATTGAAAAAGAGTGCCAACAGAGTCTTTCCCTTCTTGTTCTTCTTTGTATTTTTTGAATTCAATTTTCAATTCATCCACAAGTGATGCCATTGTAGAAAGAAATTTTTTTTCCAAAACAACCACCCAAGTGTTTTTAGTCCTTCAAAGATAATTTCCAAAAGTCCCAAAGTCACCAAACAGTCCAAATAAGCTGTTTCTTTTAGCACTTTCTTCTTTCTTCACTTTCTCTTTCTGGGGTTACTGTTTAGTTGCAAAGTTCCAGTTAAAATGTATCTTTTAGAAGTCTTGTTAGTATTTAAGGATTCTTTAAAATTCTAGGCAATCTCCTCCTCACTTCCAAATCTTGCTCCAATTCTTTTCCTCTCCCTTCCCACTTACAGCAAAAATAATTTTTTTTTAATGTTCAGAAATCCTTATTATCCCTTTAGCATTTAATTATCCAGTTTACCTATTGATGCCAAAGTGGGTTTTTCCGATTTCTCATGCATTTCTGTTCGCTGTCAACGTTAGGAAGGAGAGTGAAAAAAAAAGAAGTTTCCCTTTTAACTTCCATTCGCCGCTTGTAAATATCTGGGAATGATGTATCTTTCACAAATTTTAAGTTCCAGGATACCTTCATTGTTTTTTTGTCCCGGTCAGCAAAAAAACTTTCACTTCTTCTCAACTCCTCCTGCACTTTCTTTTCCGGCTGAGCGCTTCTTTGTGGTGGCCATTTCTGACCGCCGCTCTACCGCCTTCGGAAAAGGGGGTTTAGCCGGCTAGGGAAGAGAGGTGTGATTTCTCTCAACTCTGCCAGATCCCCCCTGTCTTCACCACCTTCTATGGAGGTGGCTAGCCCTGAAGCCGGATGGCTCAGGGCACTCCAGTGGTGAGCGCAGGCAGAAACCGCGCACGATCGCGGATTCCTGCCTGCCCCAAAGCGCTGCAAACCCGGTTTTTCAAATATAAATCTATTTCTAAAACTGTTGTACTTGGCACCCCTAACTACTTTTTATGAATGCAGAGTAGACTTTAACTCCCCTCATCTCCCTTTCTCCCTTCACAACTTCCCTTTTGGCCACCCTGCTTTCTTTTTTTTTTTTTTTGCTTCAGCTGACCTTTGCCATTTTCTTCTTCCCATTGTTGACTAATTACACCTGGCCTGGGCAGCTGGTGAAGGGCCAGACTGGGCAATCTTCATCAAGAACAGGAAGAAGTTGGTGAAGATTACTTGGTGTTGGCAGAAACTGCAGAGTGCAGGGTGTTGGAGAGCAGAAGAGTGGCAGGGACGGAGGAGTGCGGGGGCAATTGAAGGGCTGATGGGATGCCAAATGGCAGGGGCAATGGAGTGTGGGATGGCCAAAGTGGCAGAGGTAGATGGGGAATTGAAGTGGAGGTGAGTACAGCAGGGCAGCTTTAAAAGTTTAACTAGTCCTTTTAATTTGGGTCAACGAAGGTAAGAACAATCAGTCCAATAGACCCAGTATGTTTTCATAATCTAGCTTTCCAATCATAATTTAAATTATATGGCCTAATTTTGCACTCCAGTTGAGTTGCTAGTTGTATGCAAGGTTTTATAATATTGCAGAGTAAAATTTCCTGAAATTGCTAACTTATAAAACAGCTATAATGAATGAAATAAGCCCTTTATAATGGTGGAATATAGAAACTTCATTTGTAAAGCAATTGCTATGTGGCTAATTATTATTAGTCAAATGCTTAAAGTCTCATTAACACTAGCGCCAAACCATTATATCAATGTATTGTTTCATTTAGGAAATTATAATTTGCATTAACATTGCTAATCTTCAGTGAATGAGATTAGTCTAGTGTGAGACTATGGATATGTGTATTGTACTTTGACTCCTGTTAGCTTTTATGGGGCTTATATCCTTGTAAATATATTAGTGATTGTAGCCCAAATTGGTTTCCCTCCAAATTGAATACAACTAATATTTATTATAAATATTTATCTATATAAAGAAATCTGCACCAATGTTAAGTTTGATGCAGCAGTAATTATTTCACTAAATTTTTGAAAGTCAGCCAATCTGACATAAAAGCTATTATACTATATCTTCTGGTTTTGTCATTTTTGCATTATGTAATATTCTACATGCATCATTCTGTCACATTCTTTTAAAGCCCAAATAGAGCAAGTGAGTTCTTAGTAAAACAAAACATATTAATATTTTATAAGTAAATACAAGTGGTTCATATAGTACACCTCTTTTTAAGGTAATTTACCAAGTCTATTTTTATGTTTTGAATTTCTTGCATTACATAGAGGTTGATTGGGTTTTCCTTTGTAGTACAATGCCCAATTTTTACACACATGTATGTTGTATTGAAATATTTGTTTTGAAGTATTTCTCTATGCATAATGCAATGCAGAGAAACAGAAATATAGTACTTCAGGAAGCATATTTGTGCAGATACAGAAAATCAAGTTATGCATTTGCATACTCCTTAACCCAAAATTGCTTTTCATTTTGCCTTAATGTGAAATGCCAAAAAATATTTATATTGAAGTAATATTAGGGTAGCTTTTTGCCCAGTTTTACCACAGCAATGTTACCTGCATTTTAGAACTTCTCCATTTAGTGTTTTAATATTGGTGGGCATTCGTTTTTATCTGTATCTACTACATAAAACAATTTGAAAGTTTTCAGGTGGAAAAACATAATCTAAATGTTTTGAGTAAGATAAGAATAGAAGCCTAAAAAAGGAGATGCCCTTCCCCAAGTTAATTTACTTTTTTGTTTATCAATCCTCCATCCAAATTAGTTTACTTTTTATTTGCCAGATCCATTCTGCTTTTGTGGTCAAGAAAGTTTATATATTCTTACAAATAATCAAAAATAGTCAAATACTCTCTAAAAGTTTAAGACTTTATACAAATACAAAATGCAAAAATGTTCTTTCTCTTTGTATTTTCCTACTAATTGGGTCTGTACTAAATTTTAATTTTTCAAGTAACATAATTAGTTTTCAAGGGGAGTCATTTGGTCAATAAATAAGCTAAACAATATTGTATTATATAATCATTTTTCTTTTGTATTTATTTCTGTTGTTTAAGAATTACCTTTACCTCGATTTAGTGCTCTGAAAAGTGATAGTGAAATAAAATATATCAATCCATCAGAAGCACATGGAGCAAAGTTTCAGAGTCTACATACAACCTTTGAGATAAATTGCTTCAGAAAACCAGGTGAAGAAGAAAAACAGGTAAAATCCCTTTTAAATATATATTTTATTGTGGGCTGAACTACAAAGTTTTCATTTTATGATGTCATGCTGACAAAATCAGATAGATCATAATTACTACTTTAGTTCATTTTATTGGTAAAGTCTCTTGAGACAGACTGGAAATTACAGCTGTTTAGTTATTGCAGATTCTTTAAACAAGAAATATCAATTAACTTGGAGATTTAAGATTGCTTGTCTCTTATATGATCAACTTGCTGTTTATCTTAAGCAGATGAACTACAGATTTTTATTTGATATGTGGACAATCACTTGAGCCAAATTTAGTAGAGCATTCACTTTAAGAGAGCTGCTAGTCAGTAATTTTGGGAGGGAATCACCCTCAAAATCTTTTATAGTAGATTGAAAGATCCTTCACAAGATATAGGGGGAGAGCCACAAGAAAGAGAAGAAAGTCTTAAAATAAGCAGACTTTTTTTAACATAGTACTTTTGCTGGTTTTGTATGAAGCTATAAAGACTTATAAAGGAGATGGTCCTGGACTTCTGGAAGAAGAGAAAGGAACCTGTCCCACTTTACATCGAGGTGGGGCTGTGTAGGGAGAGTCCTCTCCTTCAAAGGAGTCCACCTTAGCGAAGATCTCACCTGGAGAAACAACATAATCCAGGTGACCAGGAAGGCCCAACAGAGTCCACTTCCTCAGGGTCTTGCGGAAGAACAAGGTGGAACAACAACTGATGACCTCCTTTTACCAGTCCACAATAGAAAACATCCTCACTTATTGCATTACAATATGGTATGCTGGCTTAACAACTGTGGATTGAAAGACATTACAGAGGGTGATGAGCATGGCATATCATGGACTGTCCCCTGACACCAGTAGACGAAATTGCCAAGACTCGCTGCCTTAACAGAATGAGGAAAATCCTCAGGGATGATTCACACTCTGGTCACCACTGCTTTACTCTCCTACCCTTGGGTAGGAGATATAGAAGCATAGCCAGTCATATGAACAGGCTGAAGAACAGCTTTTATCCGTGGGCCGTCAGACTCCTGAATGCAACATAACATCATAAGTATATGGTATGATAGACTTGCAGGGCCGGCGCAACATGTTCATATTGGTGCAATATATTATAATGTAATGTTATGCACATATATGTATAGAGGATTGTGTGTTATTAATATGATTTATTAGCTTAGGGATTTTTTTTCTTTCACTGTGAGTTATTGATACGTATTTATGTTGGGAAGGTACACTAAGGGAGACTCTGCCAATCTGATTGTACACATGTGTATTGACAATAAAGGTTGAATTGAACTGACTTACTAACAACTGTTCAAAGTGTAAATGTTGAAACTTTAAGTTGAAATTTAAATGTTTCAACAGCTTTCTGTTTGCCTTTTGTGAAGTGTCAAGCTGTTAGTTACCTAACAAAAGGTCATTCAGTATTATATTCCTTTCTATTTTAACTATTCTGCCATTCAATATCATTCTACTTTGTGGCACTCACTAAACATTATGGAACATTATTCCCCTGGAGATTATACTTACCCCAGCCCTATTGGCTTTGTATGTTATTTTTATTTGTTGTTAGCTGCTCAGAGTCATTTATCTGAGATGGGTAGCTGTATAAATTGGATAAGTAAACCATTAAAATAAACTACTTTGCTTCAATTGCCAAGAATCAGGTAGTAAATATTAATATGTAATATGAATATTTACAGAGGATTTGTTTCAGGGCAAGCACTACAAATTTGTTTCAGAGCAAGCTGAAATTTTGCTGACTGTTAACTGACTTAAATTCAATAATCCAGTTACATATATTATTATGACGTTTGTCTTGAAGGAAGAAGCAAAGTCTCCCCCTATGTCTCCCATTGGTTCCCATCCTGCTTCTCTCTCAACTTACCAGAGAATTCCTTTGGGATATGGATATTGTATATTGAGAAGTGGGCTCGAGCAACAACGCGGAGGTAAGTTAATGATTACCTTTGCTGTTATTGTAAGTGTCTATAAGCAGCCCTACCAAAAGGTGTGATTAAGACACTCCTTCAGGATTTAGGAGAAGCTATGTAGAGTAGATGAGCCCCATGGCATGAGAAAGTGAGCAAATCTACCAGCAGCTGAACAAATCACTATAACGGTTAGTTGCTCTAAGGAGCAATATGGAACCCTGCAACCACACTGACTTAGCAAAACTGCCACAACTCAGCAAGGAGGATTAAATATACATTTATTGCAGACACATCTTGTATGGATGGAAGAAATGCTTATGGTAGAAAGAAGACCACCATATGCAGTAACTCCACCCCCACCCCAAATTGTTAAGTCTCATTTTATACAAAACCTCTGTGAATTATAAGAGACACCTGTATGCAAAAGTTTGAGCTAGCATGCCAGAGGCAACATTTTAAAATATTTGTAACCTGCCCCATTTGCTTGGAATCTTCCTGGGAGGGTCAGGTTCCACATTAAAAAAATGTGGAGTGCTCAGTTTGCTTAAGAGTTTTATCACCTAGAAAATTGAACCAATTCTTGTTCTTGCTCTTCACATAATAAAATAGAATATTTCATGCCTAACAATCGTTTACAATCATATTCTAATAAATCTTTTAAAACTTGTGGCAGTAGAATATTAGAAATCTTGGGAATGTTTTGGTCTTCAAATATTCACTGTTATAACACAAATATATTCTCTAATTGTTTACAAAATCCCTTTTACAATTCACTGAACGTATTGCTAAATTGTAGTCAGATATCTACTGAATGTGATCAACACTTCATATTGATATTTTTAAATAATAATGTCAGGGTTCCAAGTAATACATCCATTGCAAGCAAGACTCCAAGGCAATTGAATCCCTGAAAGATGACTTTTATTGGAAATATCATATTGGCACATTTCTGGTGAAAACCAACTCTGAAACTGCCATGGTTTTCACCTTATTAAAAGTAAAAGGTTTTCTACTTTCTCAAAACAATCTGTCATATGGTCCAATCACCATGCAATCTGACAACCAGGTGGCATCACTCCACCTTCTTCCAACCAGGTGTGAGAATGTCCTTGGTTCCCAAGAGAAAGAATTTTGTTTTGGTACAAAAATCCCTCTATCTCAAATCCCACCTCCCTGACCCTCAGCTACAATATGGCAACACTGAAGAGGACGAAATTACTTCATCAGGACAGCTTCAGTATTGACAAATATAACATAGCATATAATCTAACACATGCTTTATTCTTTGCAAAACATGTTTATATTCAGTAAACAGATATTTTAATATCTATTCACTTTCACAGTTAGCTGGTCAAATGAAATTTTAAATAGCCTGTTTCTCAAATATCAATGCCTTCAAGCCATTCTTTCCTTCCTTAAATTTATTGAAGATATTTACTCAAAAATGGTATATATGAAGGATTATTTCTTAACACATGGTCTACATCTATATCCACATCTATATATCCATTCCTCTCTTTCTCTCTCTCCATGCACATTGATACATATACTGGCATTAGTTGAATGTTTTCCTTTTCTACCCTCTCATAGCAGTCCCTCCTAACCTCCAAAAATAATGTTTACAAATGAAGTGAACGATAATAGAAAAAGGAATTATTATGGGGAAAGGGATATTTTTGAAAATGAGGCATGACCAGCTATCTCTATTCGCTGAATAATATAAAAAAAATAACTAATTGCACAACTTCCTCTTTTCTGTATCACTGAAATATATGAAAGAAAGTGTCCTTTCTTCCAAAATATGAAGAATCACACTACACATTTATTTTTAACACAGTATTATTTCCTTTTTTCAATTACCGTATTTGCCGGCGTATAAGACGACTGGGCGTATAAGACGAGCCCCCAACATTTCCACTCAAAATATAGAGTTTGTTATATACTCGCCGTATAAGATGACCCCCCAAGGGTGGGGGATGGACAACTGCCAACACTCACTCTCTCTCTCTCTCTCTCTCTCTCTGTGTGTGTGTGTGTGTGTGTGTGTGGTGTGGAGGGTAATTCTGGCTATCTCTGGCCTCCGCTCGGTTTTAAAGTTGCTGGGCCGGTTCCCAAGACGCAAGCGTGCGCTGGCCGGGAGACACGGCGCTGGGTGGCAGCTCGGTGCCGGGGAGGTGGATCTTTCTCTCTTAAGCGGGGAGGGGGGGAGGGGACAAGAGGAGGGACGGGATGGGACAGGGGGCGGGAGGAGGTCCCTTATCTTCTTCCACCGCCCACCGGACCCTTTTCTTCCCAAGGGGACCCTGGAAAGCAGCTTGGGAGCCAGGTGGCGCTGCCCAGCGGGGTCCCATCAGGAACTTCCCGAGGACACCCCCCGCCCCAAGCACAGTCCTCCCGGTCTTTCAAAGAGGAGGGAGAAGCAGGACGAGCAAATTGCTGGCCCTGCCCCGTTGCCCAGAAGGAAGGGCACCACAGTCCACCCCCGCCACCTTGTCCCCCCCACTCCCCAGGCCATTACGTGGCTCGGGGCTGGCTAGGCGAAGCGGCCCTGTCAGAGACCCTCCCGCTCCACCCCCACCAACCTCCAGATTGGCCTCCGCAAGCGCCCCGAGCCGGGCGGAGGGTGGGGGGGGGAGGAGGAGGAAGAGAGACTCTGGCTGTGCTTGAAGGGGCTTCGCAAGTTGCGGAGCTCCGCCCCCGTCGCTCTTGCACTGAGTGACAACAACGTATTTGCCGGCGTATAAGACGACCCCTCCCCACTTGGAGGCATGTTTTTCAGGGCAAAAAAGTCATCTTATACACCGGCAAATACGGTATGTGAACTGTATTTTTAACTGCAAAAAATTGTTTAAGCTGAGAAGTTAACTAATTATGCAGCTTGTATTTGATATTATATATATGGGAGAATGAGGTCATAGAACAATAACAAAACTTTATGTACATATATTTTATTTTTGTATGCCTCTAGTAAATCATAAGGAATCTTAGACACGTCTGCTATATGGGACCTTGGCAGCTTCTGTTTGAATTGTTAGAAATGTGATGGTCAGAATAAACACATTAACTAAGTAAGCAGATGCCCCGATGTTGAAAAAACAGATTTATTTGTATATTTTAAAAAGAAATCATTTATCTGTATAAAAGTGATAATATGGTTATTGTAACAAGTTCACAAAATATAAAAAGGAAAATGATCTTACAAATTTAAAGGATATTACTATGCAAAGCCTTTTGATCATTTTATGCTATAAACGAACACCTTGTATTACTTGTCTTAACTTGTCTTAGCTATATTATATTAAGACTAGTTTATTTATTTTTTATTTATTATAATTAACATTGCTTATTTTTCCCTCAACTGTAAGGCGACATTGTTTTCAGAGAGAAGACAAAGTTAATTAAATAAGCATTTTAAATAACAACCACTATAGAAATTTAGAAGCATATTGATCATTTGTTATATTTCACAAATGACAACAGTATGGAACTTTGTTGTAACATTGAGTGAACTGAACATGATAAATGTTGGTTTAACTTACTGCAGAAAGTTGCAAATTTAGTTTAATTTGAGCTCAGGTAAAAAATGAAAAGAAACTGCTGTTCTGAGAGATATTAGATGCTTTTCATAAATAATGAATTAACCCATTTAGAATCAAGCCCCTGTGTTAAAAAAAACATTTACCATTTGAGCCTTCTTCATTAACCTTTTTCCTTAACCTTTATACATCCTAATAGTGGTTATGGTAATAAAGTGAATTTTACACGTGTGTACATACATGTTTGAAATTATATAGTATGAGACAAGATCCAAACTTTGTAATTTTTTATTTTATTTTAGCATATGTTTTGCATTCATCTTAATCTTGCATAGGTTCCTATGAAGCTAGGCATTCTATTCAAGATGGATTGACTTCAGAGAATTATGGGCCCAAATCAATGCCAACTCGCTCATGTGTTATTCAGGTAATGACATGGAAAAACAGTTGAAAATAAATTTTCTGCATGGGCTACATAAGTATTGAAAAATAAAACTTGATTTTTATAATCAATGTTACATGAACTAGTCTTGAGTGAGACCAATAGGGTTAGTAGTATTTTGCAGCAAAGGACAATTGCAATCTAAAACTAGTAATAAATACCTGGGAGCTAATATGAGCTCTGGCCTTTAGAATATGTGTGAAATGGAAGCATTTTACAACTACACAGGATCAGCTACAGGATAAAGTGAGATTGTGTTCCACATAACTTAAGTACAGGTAGTCCTTGACTTAAGACAACAATTGAGCCCAAAATTTCTGTTGCTAAGTGAGACATTTGTTGAGTGAATGTTACCCCATTTTACGACCTTTCTAGTCACATCTGTTAAATGAATCACTGAAGTTGGTAAGTTGGTAATTAAGTGAATCTGACTTCCCCATAGACTTTGATTGTTAGGCGGTTACAAAAAGGGATCGCATGACCTTGGGACACTACAACCATCATGAGTCAGTTGCCAAACATCTGAATTTTGATCATGTGGCCATGCTGTTGTAAATGTGAAAAATAGTCATAAGTCACTTTTTTCAGTGCCATTGTAACTTTGAACAGTCATTAAATGAACAGTAGTAAGTTGAGGACTACTTATATTAATTTATATTAGCTTTTATATTAGGATTAAGAGTCACAGGTTGGAGGAGACATAACAGTATTGAATCAATGCCAGATATTTTACTTTGTTTCCACCTACCTGAAATCAACATTTGTCCACTTTTTCACAGTGCTCTGGATAAGAAGGAAATGGGTAAGACAAAGGGCATGAGACTGAGACAAACTTCCAGATCTTTCTTGTTGACAGCAGCTTGAGTAAATCAAAAACCTTGAGAATTCATGCTGCCATTATTTGCATGTACACAAAAAAATAGTGCATCTGTGTATAACTAAAGAAGAGTTCCATAGAACAGAGACAATTTTGTATGTCAGAAAGAGGTTTCTAAAGAACAGAGACATAGTATGTGTCAGAAAATTTTTGAAGAAATTACACTGGGTGGTTAACCCAAAACTAAAAAGTTCATTTAATTCACCATGATCAAACTCAAATTTATAACTAAAAGTGTGTGCCACTATGCACCATGGGTGGGTAGTTGTAGCAAGGAAAAGACAGCCTTTAAAATTTTGCAAGATAGATGAGTGTTAACTAATCTGTATTGGTTTTTGTGACTGATGTTCTTCACTGTTATAGTTTATTTTAATTGGAACTGCATTTAGTTGGGGGTACATCTAGAATCCATTAGAGTTGGGTGGTTGATAAATTCAAATAAATAAATCAATTTTTAAATGGCATTTCTGAATCAGTTCTCACTGCTGTCCTTTCTCATGTCTTCTGTTCCTAATGGTCACGTACTGATAGAGTAGTATCTAATAGTAGTAGAATTAATGGGTATCTAAAAACAACCTCCCCTTTTGAATTATTTATTCTTGATGTGTTTGCTTTGGAAACGTTAGAAGCTACAGTTGTTTTCTGGGATTTGATCTTTCCCCATCCTAATATTGATAATGAGTCCAATCAACCATTTATCTGTAATTAATTTGGAACTTGTCCTATTTTCCTTGTTTGGAAATGTAAGGATTGTTAGCAATTTACTTAAGAATTTTTCTTTTTTACCTCATAGGTAGATTTTATCTTATTAGTTTGTAAACTCTTCCACTGGAAAAGATTACACATTAAATATCCACGACATTCATTTTTGAAAATTTTTGATATGTATGGCTTCTGGAAAATAATGTTTTGCAAATTCAACAGAAGTATCAACACTGTTTATTTTTAAAGGAATGGCATAGTAAGAACAGAGCATAGTTAATGCTTTGAAACATCAGGACACTCAGCTTTTTTGTTATCCTTCCAAATAAAACATTTTCCCTTTTTGAAGCCTCTTTTAGTAGAAAGAGAATCACAGGACAGCAGTAGTAATTACCCAGATGACCTTTGGAGGGTAACCGAGGAACAACGAGAGTATTATATCAATCAGTTCAAGACTTTACAACCTGATCTCAACTCTTTCATTTCAGGTAATATCCTTTGTAAACATAGAAATTAATACTAGACTGAGAATCCTGGGCAAGTAAACAAAATTCATATAGATAAGTGTAAAATGTGTAGCTGCGTGTGTGTGTATGTTGATAGGGGTGGGGATGGATTATACACAATAGGACTGGTTTCCTGATATCTATTAAACAAATACATAAACATGGAATTATTTACATGAAAGTAAATGTTATTTACTATAATAATTGGAGTTCTATATTGTCCTATCAATATTGTTCTATATTGTCCTATGTTTTTAATAGCAATGTAATATTTGAGCTAAAAAAGCTAGAGTTTCCCTTATTTATGCTTTATAGAGATAATAAAAACTATATTATTCTGATAATAAGGATTTCAATTATGAAATCATAGTGTATTACAAAAAACACTGATTTGTAGTTGCCAATAAAACCAAACAAATTATATGTAGAACGTGTACAAAACAATTACTCAAAGCCATTATTTTATTTGTTAGCTTTACTCATACCATAGCATTGCTTTTATTGCTGATTTTAATCTTATTTTGAATGATAAGTAGCCAAAGAGGTGATTTTGAAATAAATCCTATATTTTAATGTGTAATATTCAATAAAACTTAAGAGGGGGTTGATATAAACAAAATTAAATACTTTCAGGTCCCATTTTTAAAATTGGAATGCTGATGAGATATTTATATAAAGTTATGAAATTTTATTATTTTGAATTTGTATACTTTTTCATAAATCATAATTTATAACTAACAATATTAACACTTCATAGTACTCTTGTTCCCCCTTCAGACATAAAAGTATAAGAATAAGAATAAGAATTGAAATAATAACTGAGCATTTAAAACTACACATAAACAACAGAATAAATCGCCTGCACTGTAACTTTTTATAAAGAAAAAACTAGCAAGCTATTAAAAGATGCCAATGCTGTAATATCAAATATAAGCACCACCTCATTGCAAGAAACAAACCAACTGATGGACAGCTTGGCTGCAGTTATAACTGAATAGCTGAGACATAAAATCAACAAACAAGAAAAACAAAAACTAAACAGTGCATCACTAACATGGAAGATCATGTGATGACCCAGGGTGGGATTCAAAACAAACATAGTCACAGAAAACAAGTGAAGCCTCTTTTATTCCTTCACTTTGCTTCCAAGCTCCAAATATTCTTGACAAAAGACGAAAAACTCCCACACAAACAGTTACAAGAAGAAGGGAATAAGCAACACAAACCAGGCAAGATAAGGGCTGGAGGACGTCCACAGATAATGCACACTTGAAAGGATGCCAAATTCAGAGAGGAACCATAAACTAGAAATATTTCCATGCTTTGTTTCCAGCGTTCACCCGTAAGCAGGTCCGTACTCTTATTCAATTGTTACAGCTGCAGCCCATGAAGAGGATCAAGGCCCTCTCCCAAGTAGACCACATCTCTCCCTTATCCTCTCCTCTCTGCATGCCCTAGGATGGATAGGGGATGGGCCTGGGTCCTCCTCTGACTGCTCAGTTAGCCTTTGCCCTTCCCCAGCTTCCACCACAACCTCCAGAGCCACACTTCCACTCCCTGTCAGCTGTTCCTCATCTCCCTCAGAGTCAGTCTCCACCAGGGGCATGACAGATCAGGTTGGAACACAAGATCATAGGCAAACAACTTAAAACAGTTGAAAAAAAAAGAAGCCGGGTTATGAGATCAGAGTTTCTGATCAACAAATACCACCTAGAAACAAGGAAGATTCAGGAAGCGCTAGAAATAATAAAACAGCAAATAACAACTATATAAGTAGTCCCTGACCTGTATGACTGCATTGAGCTCAAGATTTCTATGACTGAGCAAGACAGTTGTTAAGTGAGTTTTTCTCCATTTCACAATTTTTCTTGCCACAGTTGTTAAGATAGTTTTTTCACTGCCATTGTAACTTCAAATGGCCTTTAAATGAATAGTTGTAAGTCGAGGACTACTTGTAGCCAAGAACATAGGCAGATACGAAGCTCAAATTGCACGCTATAGGCAGCATGTATAATTCTAGTTGAATCAGAAATTTTTCTACCAATCCATCAGTGGATAGACTGCAGTGAGTCATTCAATACCTGACAAAAAAAAAAGTGGAGTTCTGGGCACAGCTATGGGACAATCCAAAGAAATATAGCAAGAATGCATCTTGGCTAAAAGAGGTGGATGAGAATAAAAAAAAAAAGTGGAAATGAAAGAATTAGTAATAGAAACAGAAATGGTGGAGAAAAGAGCCAGGAAGTTGAAGAGTTGGTCAGCATCAGATGAAGATAAATGATGTGGGTTTTGGTTGAAACATCTGTTCTGCACCCACCTAGCACCAAGCAGTTTAACAAAATACTGAAAATGGTGAAATTGAAGATTGGTTAACCTCTAGCAACAGCTAGCAGATAATGAAAGTTCCAGCAAGACAGGTAGCATCAGGCAATTCTAGACCAATTACTTGCTTATCCTCAACTTTCAGATTGCTAACTAGTGTGGTAGCTGATGCAGTACAACAGCATCTAGTTGAAAACAAGCTCTTTCCACCTGAGCAGAAAGGAAATCACCCAAACAGCAGAACAACAAAAAATCAGCTTCTAATTGACAAAATTATTTTGGAAAACACAACACCTCAGACAACAAGAAAGTCCAGCTGCCTCTTGAAAAAGCACCTCTGGGACAACACCCCAGATTTAACAATGTAGATTAAAAAAAACCAAAAAAAAGTCTGGATAGTGGATGTGGCAGTACCTGGAAACAGAAGAATGGAAGAGAAATAATTGGATAAAATCAGAAAATTCAAAAACCAGAAGAGAAAGCAAAGACAATACCAATAGTAATATGTGTCTTAGGTGCAATTCCAAATAATGGAGGAACTACCTGAACATTGACAAAATCACTATTCGGAAGAGTGTAATCATGCGACATTGCTTTTAACTTCATCAGGTGGAAACAAATGCCAACCCTGTCTAAACATCTAGCTGAATGTGTGATGAACTCTGATTTGTTATAGGAAAATATAAATAAAATAACTATGCATTCCCAAGTTATTTCGGCTATTGTTTCTTAAGGAGAAAAATAGATTTTTTTAATGGTGAACCTTCCTCCAAAACAATTGAAAAACAGGCTTTGATACTAGTACTCAAATTGTAATTTCCCACTTTTAATTAGACCAAATTATAGCATAATGAAATCATGTAATACTTTTGATGTCAAGGTAAAAATAAAACAGAATGTTTCTGTTTTTAACTAGTTCCAATTAATATTATGCCTATACCTAAACAGTTCTTCTACAGTTCTTCTACTAATCTTCTACACTGGTGACAGTCATCTTCATTAGTTCCTATGCAGAGTATATTGGGCAGCAGTGTTTTCCAGAAGTTTCAATCATTAAGGGTTTGTTATCAGGTTTTCTGACGTGAGCCTCATTTTCTGTTCCTTCCAGAAGGTATCCAAAGTAATGCAACTTTTGGATGCCAGTCTTCAGATAGATGTAAAATATGGCTAACAAGTCACATTTAACTTTCATTCACAGTTCTCTATAGATTTTAAATCTGATCTTCATAGTACCTCTCCGTTAGTAATGTGGTATGAGATATGGAGGATATTATCCTTGTGACAGTATATAGACTTTTGTTCTGTGAAATAACATGCACTTTGCTGCAGTCCTTTTTGTTTAAATGGATATTCTTGGCCATTTCAATAAGTTCTATAAAATAAATTCTATATATGAAAACTGATTCATTGAAATTTCAATTTTATCTGTTAGCTTATAAACACTATGCATTTTAAATTAAAATCTGCCTGCTTTAGATTTTATTACTGCTGTTCACCTGGAATTTAAGTATTTTTATAAAATGAATTTTCATTTCCTTTGTAGGATTTTATTTTGATTAAGATCAGAAAGGTATATATTGCAAAGAATTTTAAGCATTTATATCCCATGTGAACAGGGAAATAAAGAAAAATCCTAGAAGAGGACGGGGCAATTAATATTCATAGTAAAACCAAACTTTATATAGTACACCTATCTATATTATTATCATTGAGACAGCTTTGTATTTTGGATGCACATAAGAATATAGACATTCACAATAGCCATATATTCAAATGCAAGGCATTTAGATGTATTAAGTTGTCTGAGTAGGTTTATGCTAATAATTAAATGAATTCAGGGGCAAAGAAATGAGTGAAATTTCCAAATAGAAACAATATGTCCAATTATCTTGGCTGTAATGAAATTGATCCAAGTATCCTATCCAGGTAGGGTCCAGTCAATGGATGGCAGAAGAAGGTCCTTTTGTGGGATGGCAAAAACCCTATGCAACAGTTTTCTACTGAAGTCACACAAGCACAGCTACAGTATTAACTTTTCAAAGGTGTTCAAAAAAGAGCTATTTCATAGGGCTTTGAAGGTGATATCACTTCATACCAGATGATACACTGAAAGTTCAATATATATATATATATATATATTTGAAATTCTATTTATTCCAACTTCTACTCTTTTTGTAGGTTTTATTATTGAAATTATTAATTGATTTCTATTGCATTATTAATTATATTGTTTTAAATACTTTTTCAGTGCATAGACACAGATAGATAGATAGATAGATAGATAGATAGATAGATAGATAGATAGATAGATAGATAGATATAGACGCACACATGCACGCACGCATGTTCTTTCCATCTAAGGTTTCTGTGTGTGCCTACACTCAGCAGCAAGGGCTAGATAATCATACTTTGCTCACTGCCAATTTTCAGATAGCTTTTAACTATAGTTTGGAAATTCAGAATATAATTTCAAATTCTGTTTTGCTTAAGATTCTGAAATATGAGACATTTAGCGTTAGTGCTTAGGTAAAAATAACAAACCACAGATAAAGATTATCTTTCAGAAGCCTCAAAATATTTTACTGAAAAATAAAATACTGATGAATATTGCAAGAAATATTGTAATTACTATTGAAGTTACATAAGAAAATGATGTTCAATCTAGGCTAATATAAACAAGCAAATAATAACGGATTCATTTTTTAAAAAGAAATATAAGAAGGATGCCAGTAGAAAATTTGTTGCTGAACTTTTTGTTTTACTGCTTTCTGGTCATCATTTTTAACAGGTTCTGTAGCTAAGAATTTCTTTACAAAATCTAAATTGCCGATTCCTGAACTTTCACACATATGGTAAGTACTATTTTCTAACTCATAATATTATTTTATCTCTGTCTGTATGTAAACAAATGCAACAGAAAATGTCTTCAGCAGTGGCTCATACTGTGATCCAAACAAAGTAGAAAGTGAATTAATATTTATTTTATGCTTTTCAGTGACCTAACAAAACGTGAGTAGTACTGTAATCTAAAAATGTTCTTTATATGTATGTATGTGTGTGTGTATGTATGTATATACACACACACATATACGTTTTTTTAAGTTTTCGTGGGTACTTACATGTATGGTATTCAGTTTTGTTTGGGTATTTTCCCACGTCATTATAGTTGTGCTTTTAATGTTGTAGCAACATTTCGGCAGAGTCTCATCTGCCATCATCAGGCTTCCACAAAAGCAAAATCACCAGCTTGATCCACAAAAACACACTGAGACATAATGGAGACCTAGAAGATGAACAGACCTATGGAACAGCTGTCCTGCCCTACATAAGAGGTACTACAGACAAAATCAATAAGATACTACACAGGCATCACATCAAGGCTGCCTTCAAAACAGACAGAAAAATAGCAGCCATCCTAAGAAATCCCAAAGATAAAATTGACCTGGAAAACCAAGGCATATATGAAGTCCCCTGTGCATCATGCCCTGCCACATACATTGGACAAACCAATAGAAGAATAAGTACCCACCTGGATGAACACAAAAATGCAGTAAAAAAGCTGGAACACACTTCCTCACCAGTCCAACACATGAAAGCAACCATAGCATTGACTTCAATGGCACCAAAACCCTAGCCACTATAGAAAACCCCAGCCACAGAATTATCAGAGAAGCCATAAAGATTGAAAAAAGACCTGAAAGCATGAATAGAAGAGATGATTCCACCAGACTGACAATTATTTGGAAGCCTGCACTCACAAACAAAAAAATCTCCACACCACTAGCCAGGCAAACACCTGGGCACAAACAGATTCCCCCTGATACCTCCACCTCAAACACACCCCAACCAGGCACCAGATGAAACCTAGCTTCCTAATAAATGATAGCCATCCATTTACTCGGAGCCAAGCCGCACTAAAAGCCTCCAATACAGGAACACAATGTTGCCAGCCAATCAAGACAAAAAAAGCCACAAAACAGACAGAAGATATTAGAAACACCAATCAAGCAGAACACGGCAAACTCCAAGACCAATAAACAACAGACCAAGACTCCCAACCAATCAGGATGAAGAAAAAAACCATTCTGGCACAGCAGTAGGCTAGCCTCAAATTTAAAACTGAAGCGGCTGTGAAAGTCTGACTCACAGACGAACACAATACAAAAGCCTGATGATGGCAGATGAGATTCTGCCGAAACGTTGGTACAACTTTAAAAGCACAACTATAATGACGTGGGAAAATACCTGAACAAAGCTGAATACCATACACACACACACATATATATATACACACACACATATGCACATATATACAGGGGTGGGATGCTGGGAGATACAGGGGTTGGGAGAGCCCCTATCTAAGATTCTGTGCAGTTCGGAGAATCCCCAAATCCCACTCCTGGCTGGCCCTGCCCACCCCTTCCTAGAGTCTCCATATGGCTCATTTTGGATGCAGGTAAGTGCAGGGCATGCACGGAGGCTCAGGGAGGGCCAAAAATGGGCCTCCTGGAAGTTCAAGAAGGCTGGAAATGGGTCTGTTTCCAGCTTGCAGAGAGCCTCCAGAGCCTAGGGAGGCTGTTTTTGCCCTCCTGGAGGCTCAAGGAAAGTCTCTGAAGCCCGGGGAGGGCAAAAAGCCCCTGTGGTGCAGGAGGCCAACTAGGCCACACCCACCATGGCCATGCCCACCCAGCAACTGGGCAGAGAACCTGTTGCTAAAATTTTTGAAACCCACCCCTGCATATACACATACATACATACATACATACATACATACATACATATATGAGTGTGTTTGTGTGTGTGTGTGGTTTATTTGTAATTTTCCTTTAACATCCCTTCATATTTTGGTGATAGTGTATTTACTGGTCAATATATCTTCACAATGCTAGCAATGATAATACAAATTAGGTATATATAATCCTAGTCTTCCAACCTCTAACCTTAACCTGTACATTGTACTTATAAGCTTCAATAACATTTCTCCATGCAGTATGTTTGTTATCCCCTATGAAATCTCTAGTATTTTAATATTTTAAAAATTACTCAATAGTCCACCATAAATCCAATATCCCAATTGTTTAAAGACACCAATAGGACCAATTATTAACCAAATTTAATCAATCCCGGGACTATATCTCCAATCACCTAAAATTATAAGTTTCAGTATATTTTTACACATCGTTAATATTAATAATACAGTTAGGTTACCATACCATAGACTTCCACCTTCTAACCTTAATTTGCTTTTTATTATAGTAAATTCTATTGTCTATATATATATTGTACTGTTTTTTCAATTTATATTTTTTACTTCTTTTAATTTCTAATATAATCACCATATTGAGTGTTATTTTATCTCTATCCATCATCTCTTACTCTTTTTGAGATTTCCTCATTGACTTTTTGATCCCTCTTTTATATTTCTCTCTTGGAAGCTTATTGCCTTTCTACCATTTTTATAACAACTAAATATTCCCTCTGGCTTACCCCTTGTCTCCTGCTGCTGCATCATTTGAGCACCCTCCATAGTCCTTTCATTATTTTGGGGAGGCTTCCCTCCCCCCCCCCTTCTATTGTAAACTCTTAAAGAATTATCTATTCGATTCATACTTATTAGTCATGTCCCTTTAATGTCTTCATTTTCTTCCAATTTGTTTTGTTTTGTCTCCTCCCCACTTCTTCTGGTTTCTCATCTGTTTTCTGAATATTATATTCATCTCCCTCCCCCTTTGTTGAGGGTCTTCTACACTCACATTTTCTCTTTGGACAATCCCATTATCTCCTTATGATTCTTTATCACAGTTTCTTATAAAATGTTAAGCATCAATAACGTTTTTTCATACTGTACACCTCTATTGTCCCCTGTTGAGTCATTTTGCAATAATTTAGTATATTAAAAATTACTTCATATCCCCCTAGGGCTCCAATATCCCAATATCTGAAAACTCCAAAATTACTAAAATTTAATCAATCCCAGAATTGTACCTCCAAGTCCCCTAAGTTTATAGTCCTTAAAAGTTGTTTAGTGATTTTCCAATTTGCTTCTTCCCAATTGTCCAAATTTTAAAGTCTTATTTAGTTTTTCTTTTCTTTTTTCTTCTATGACCTTCCTTTTTTTTAAATCTCGTAGGATGCTCTATCAGGTAGCTTAAGTAATTCAAATCCAAATTGGCCCGACAAATTTCCTTCAGTCTTTCAACTCCACCATTCAATAAGCAGTTTTAATAGAGATATATTTATTTGCAGTTCAATTTGTCTTAGAGATTTTCAGAGAGCTCACTAAATGTTTCAAAACATCCAAGTTGCCTTCTAAATCTAATCTTACAAAGTTTCTCCTCCAGACATATTAAATTGCTAACTAGAGCATACGAAACTTTTGCCAGACCAATACTCAAATACAGCTCATCAGTCTGGAATCCGCACTGCATATCAGACATTAATACAATCGAGCAAGTGCAGAAGTATTTCATGAGAAGAGTACTACACTCCTCTGCTCGTAACAGAATACCCTATATCACCAGGCTTGAGATTTTGGGCTTAGACAACCTTAAACTACGCCGCCTACAGTTAGACTTAAGCGTAGCACACAAAATTATCTGCTACAATGTCCTACCAATCAATGACTACTTTAGCTTCAACCATAATAATACAAGAGCACACAACAGATACAAACTCAATGTAAACCACTTCAAACTTGATTGCAGAAAGTACGACTTCAGCAACAGAGTGGTCAATGCCTGGAATGCACTGCCTGACACTGTTGTTACATCCTCTAACCCCACTCCTTTAACCTCAAACTAACCACTATTGACCTCACCCTATTCCTAAGAGGTCTGTAAGGGACGTGCATAAGTGTGCCATCATGCCTATCATCCCTGTCCTATTGTCCCTATTTATTCAAACCTATTTCCTGTATTCTTACTCATGTTTATACTTATATCTATTATCCTGTAAGCAATTGACAAATCAAATTAATAAATAAATAAAAATAGAATCAAGGTCAGGTGGCCTTCCAGGTGTTTACTTTCTCTTCTTACATTTATTTGTGTTAAACAATTGTCACTTTCACCTCGGTTCCCATATTGTAATGCTCTTTTTCCTCTGGTAAATAGCTCCCCTACTCCCAATTCCAGCATTAGACAGCGTCAAACAGCTGATTGTCAAACAAATAGAAGGGGATTAAAAATAAAAAGGCAATTTCTCCCAATAACCACTTTTCAAGTAATTGTTGAATATTTTCCAAGCTTTCTATGTTTTAAAGCTTCCATTAAACATTTCTTTCATTCTGGGTCTTTAATCTTTTTCCCTGTACCCAATCACCACTTGCTACTTGGAGATTATTTTTTGGAATTTTTTAACTTGGGTTAGATCTCTAGCATAAAAGTTTGAAGCTGTCTCACCCAGCTTCAATACTCTGTCCCCACACCATTCCAGCACAAATTTTCTCGTCCCAGTTGTCACAGCTTGTGTCAAAGAGCCTCGGTGGTGCAGTGGTTAGAGTGCAGTACTGCAAGCTACTTCTGCTCAAGGTTGACTCAGCTTCCCATTCAAGGAGGTTCAAGATTGACTCAGCCTCCCATTCTTCCGAGGTGGCTAAAATGAGGACCCAAAATTGTTGGGGGCAATATAATAGAGAGGGCTGTAAAGCACTATAAAGTGGTATATAAGTCTAAGTGCTATTGTTGTTGTGACTTCCCAAAATGGCCGTTGTCTTTGCTGCCGTTCAGGAGAGCTTTCTTCGGACCTAATGAGGAAATTGCGGTTTTCCTCATGGTCTACAAAGCACCTCTCCTTTCTTCACTATCCCTTCAGGGTGTCTAGAACCCCATAGGGTCTCCCAACAGCAGTTGCCGGCTGGTTTTCACGGAGCTCGGTGGAGCTTCACTATTTTCAAGCCGGTTGCCACGCGATGCCAGCCAGAAGTTCCAGTAATCTAAAAATATTCTAAAGAGCATGTTAAGGAGTCTAAAAGGATAAGTTTGAATCATGTTCAGATAAATATAATTCAGAAAAATTAACATTATAAGCTTCACTTCTAGTTGTGCTTATAAACTCATATTCTGATTCTTTTAAGCAGTAATAGTTTCATGTACATCAGAATTACTCATTACAACTTTTTTTGAATGTTACATTTCAAAACCTGCCTAGTTATTCAAATAAAGTAATTTTTAAAAATCACAGTAATTTAAGTGTAATTTTATTGCAATTGCAATATATTTTTATTATAAAGTATAATTGTAATTTATATTTGTAATAAAATTATTTGTATTACAATTAGAAATCACATTAGTATAAATGTTAATATCTGTATGAGCAAAATGTGGTGCAACAAACAAGGTTCTATAAATAATTATCTGATTTCAAGGGAACTTAGTGATGTTGACTGTGATGGAGCATTGACGTTAGCAGAGTTCTGTGCTGCCTTTCACCTTGTTGTTGCTCGGAAGAATGGCTATCTTTTGCCAGACAGCTTGCCAGAGACGCTCTTGCCTGACTATCTTCATGCAGGTAAATATTCAGTGTTTGTATATAGGTTTTCAGTTAATTAAAACCATGTTTTAACAACAGTCTGTTTTCATGCAATAATTATAGGAAAGATGCTCTGAAACTGTGGATAATCAATGTTTGGTCTCTTAATAACAGCAGTGATAAGACTTGCTTAATAGCAAACTTATATCTGGCTAAAAAGCTTGGCTATGTTGTGGTTAGCTGGCAGCAGGTGCAGATGGCTGAGGAGAGTGATGACTCTGATGAGGGGCCAGGACCATCAGGGAGTGGACTGCTGCCTTCAGGGATTGTGGGGGCTGGCAGCAATGATGAGAAGGTTCCCGAGCAGCCTGTGCTAAGTGTGTGTGAGCACAAGATGATTCATAGAAGAGAACAGCTGGAGCAGCACAGGCGACTCGGGAGTAAGGATGCAACATAATGGCCCCTCCCTCCAGGGAATATAAGCCTGGTTTCAAAAGGTTTTTGCTTTTGCAGAAAGCAAAAACGTTCTAAGGACTCAGCATTGTGTGTGGAGACTCCGGCTTATCTGAAGAATTCTGTCAAGGCTTTTCTGGTTGGACTAATTGGCTGCAAGCCATCTTTTATCTATAAAAAGGTTATTTGTAGATTAAAGCTGAGAAGGTTTGAGTTGGGTGCGTTTGTTTGAGATTTTCTTGCTAGTAACAGGGTTGGGTCAGAACAGGCTAATATATGTTCATGAAGTCTATGTCTGAAATCCTTAAAATTATTGACTCATGACCTAGAAGCTGGAAGGCCTTTTTGCCCTACAGCGGTCATCTGGATCCTTCCAATATGATTGTTTTATATTGTGCTGACATTATTTTTAATTGTATATCCATAACCCTGCAATGCACTTTGTAGTACATTACATCTCAATAGAATAACAACTTGAAACCATTACTGGATTTCTGTTTAAGGTAACAATTATTGCACACACACACACAAAATCCAAAGTATCTCTTGGCATACTAATGTAGTTTTTAATGTGTCTAGTGAGGTTACTGCTCTTCTATAAATCTTAACTTCCCAATGGAAAATAAGTATAATGACACTAAAATACTGATATGGAAATATTTTATATGGGTTTTTTTCTTATTTGAGTATTGTTCTTATATTTAAAGAGACACTATTACACAAAGAAAGTTGAGAACTTTATGGTGAACTGCCGAATCAGGACTTCTAAGTTAGTTTAGAAAGATTTAATACCATTTATACCAGTTGTGTGCCTGGCAATGAAATATATATTGCCTATTCTTAAAATATATCGCCTATTTTTTGAGGTACTTTTTAATTACAGCATTCTGGGAATAATCAGAAACTTCCCATACTTTCATCCCAAAGAATGAATGAACAGTGACTGAATGGCATTAACTTATCTATCCATATCTTTTTATTCTCCCTAGTTTCATTTTAGTTTATCATTCTCCTATAGCCTTGGGGTTTCCTTGTAGTTTCCCCTCTAAGCATTAACTAAGTTCAGCATCAACTTAGCTTTTTTAGTATATCAAGCTCAACTAAATGCTGCAGCTTACCATAACGTTCATTCAGTTTTAAAAAATTATTTTTAATATATAGGAACCTTATTCAAATGATAGTCACAAAATAAAAAACTCCAGTCTTGTATTATAAAGTAGAAGAGTTGCCAATTGTTATCATTAGGTTATAGAATATACTAAAGTAGAAATCAATGAGAAAATAAGTCTAGAAAATGATCATTATAAAGATTGAGGCACTTAACCATCTTTTTTTTATAGCTTCCCATAAACCTAAAGGTGAATATGTACTGAATTCTTATTCAGAATCATTGTCAGTAAGTCAATCAACAAGAGACTTCAATAGGACTGAGGTATGAACAACTTATCTTGTTTTAATATACTTTAAATTATAACAATGGTGTATAAACCAGTCTTCATGTCATAACTTCCTTTAACAGTTTCTTTTATTCTCTCTGTGTTTTTAGTGCATTTATCTAATTGGGTTGGTGACCAATTATAAAGCAATAGTTTCTCCTCAACTTTTTTCCTTCACCACTAAAATTTAATTGTTGCAGAGATGGTGAAGGATTGGCTGGAGGGCAGCAGCTCAAACCCTTCCAAAATCTGTGTGAGTTGTGTAAGCACTAAAATCGATGCACCTCTTAAATGGAAGAGCACAAAGTAGAGAAAGAAGATTCAATTCAATTACCTGAGGTTTAATGCTGAGAAGGGGAACACTGTAATCATAGTGCAGCTGCTAGATGACACAGCTAAAATCAAAATGTAATTTGCTGTGTTTTAGTCCAGTAAAATCAGCCAAAAGAAAGTGTTATGCCAAAGTGGGAGAAATTATGGGAGAAATTTTGTTTTAAGAAATACTGAATCCACAGCAAGAGAATGAACCCTTGTATCAAGCATTCCTAAGGATCATTTTTGTCAGCTCCTACCTCATTTTTTCCTTCTTTAGCTAAAAACATAAGTGTAAATTTTAAAGACTTTGCACACTTTGAGTTATTGATTCATTATTACGAATAGTTAAAATATTATTTAATTTATTCCTGAATTTTTAGAAGTAGAAACAAACCTTCCTGTACTTTTCTCACCAGAGATGAATATTCATTCTTTCTATAACTTTCTCTTACATTTTTTTAATATAATCAGCTCGAAACCGTATGCGAAGTTCCAAATAACTCACAGCTACTGATTCTGTTTGAGGCAACCTCTGTTCAACCAGTTAGTGACCATTTATTTTTTTAAATTATTGATCTAGTCAGTATGTAACAATTCACTTGCATGCCTTTTGTGTCATTAATAGTATTACACCCAAACCTTTCTCACTTAAATTACTTCAAAATTACAACATAAATTTATTAAGCATGCAAACTACTATAGTATACGCTGGGTTCCCAGCAAAGCATTGGCAGCTTGCGGAGCAGACCTGAGCAAAAGCAGAACTACAGTGCATGTACCCTTGACCTACTACATGGCACAGGCAAGACAAAGAAAAAGACAGACACCGTATAAATTACTGCATGATGTTGAAAGTGAATACAATTCACATATGTATGGGGGTACCTCTTATTGCCACAATAAAATTATACTTCTCTGTTATAGTCAAAATAATTAGTTTCATGAAAGTATTCCCAATAAGAGGCTTGATGAACTTTAACTATCTAAAATGTTATGGTTTGATGTTTTGCCGGGATTATGAACCGTGCTCATAAAATATTCTGGTTGTACTCGTATTTGTCAGGTGTTAATTTGCCTTTATAAAGCAGCACCTTTCACAAATTTCAATCTGTGATAAAATATAATGTTAACAGAATGATGCTAGACTGTAATCCTGAGCAAGCAAATTAGACATTTGTAGGATGCTTCTGGAAAAACTTGCACAAGATTATATGGCATGTATTTCCATAAGATTATACAGCATGTGACACAATTATATGGCTCTTTTGCTGTACAAAATCAAAGTACCAGCTTATCCTAGAAAAACCTGGTTTACTTTCAAAACCAAATTATAAAAATAATTAAGGAATTTTAATTCATCCCTAAAGGTATTTTCTTCTACATCTCTCCCCAGATTATTGGCTTCTCCCAGCCTGTACATTTCTGAATCATCTGACTATTTGTTTCTTTCTTCTTTTACTTTTTTTTAATCTTCACAAATGGATACCCTTTCTGTCATAAACAGCCTTCAATTGATGAGAAATCTGTTAAAGCTGCCCTGATTCAGGATACGATTACTGATGATAAACAAGGTACAGTTCTAAATTGTAGTCTCAGTTTTGAAGTGGTAAATATGTTTTATACAAATTCAATTGGATAGAAAACACCCATACTAGTGCTTCTTCATGGCTAAGGATATAATGCTGTTCTGAAGGCGAGCTAAACCTGTGTCCAACCCAGCCTGGCTGACAGGTCATAGGGACAAGGGAAGAGGACAGTGTTCAGGAGCATGTGAGAAATTGTGAGGAGTCTGAAATTAATGGAAGGAGCTTTATATCAAGAGGTGGCAATGTTCATTAGGGGCTGATTGATCCCCAATTTTATCCTTTATTTTGCTTAAATGCCCCAGAAGCTTAATGGACACTCACATAAGTAATCTACTCTTCCCTTTTTAGCTTCTTTTGTATCACCTGGACCCTTCTATGGGGCTGCCTTTGAAAAGTATTCAGAAGCTTCAATTGATTCCAAATGCAGCAGTGATAATGGTTTTATGCAGGCCTAGATGTACATATGTGTTATCTCTCCTGCAGGAGCTGCATTGGCTATCTGTCTGCTTCCGGATCCAATTCAATGTGCAGGTTGTCACCTTTCAAGCCCCTTATATAGTTTAGGGCCAAATTATTTGAAGGACTGTCTTTTCCTTGTTACATTTACCTGACCTACCAGAATGAGGAGTCAGGGAATGCTATAGATATCTTTTCCTAAGGAAGTTTATCTGGTGAGATAAAAAAATAAGGACCTTCTCTGTCATGGCTGCCTGTCTGAGGAACATTTTATTTTACTTATATTTCACACCTAACCACCTATCTCCCTCAGAAATCAGAGATATTGTGTTTGGGTTTTAGTACTGATCTCCCTGAAGTGCAAGTTTTCATCGTTATCTTGGTGGTGGTCAATGTTTTTGACAGGATGGCTTCAATTCATATTATGGTTCCAGAAGCATAATTCTAATTACTTAAATAATTCATATAAGTAATTCATGGGGTCCTTGCGGCCAGACGGTGCAAGGTTTATCATGCCGGTGGAGCCTCTTGAGGCAGGACGCCATGAGGCTCGTCATACCAGTGGAGCTGCTTGCGTGCAATGGCACAAGACACCATGTAGCATCCTGCTGTGAGAAGCTGCACCGGCATGACAAGCCTTGTGGTATCCTTCCAAGAGTGGCTGTACCCGGTACAACAAGACCTGAGCTCCAGTTTCCCAGCAGCAGCAGGACCAGCAGGCAGGGAAGGGGAAGGCCGTGGCATACCAAGAGTTTGGCTTATTGCTGACGCAGGCATGTAGAAGGTGGGACAGAGGGTGGGGCCAACAGTAGCACTTCCACTCACATTGGCCTCTGTGCTCACTGCCTCCTGCATGTCAAAAAAATAAGACCTCCCCAAAAATAAGCCCGAGTGCTTATTTCAGGACCCAAAAGAAAATAAGACCAGGTCTTATTTTCGGGGGAAATACAGTAGCTAGCTTTGTTGCCTTTAGAAAATAACTAAATTTAGCGCATTTAGGCAGCTATGATTGTCACTGTTGGCTTTCAAAGATACCCTCATCCTCTGTTCCATGAATTTGTTTTTTCTAGGAGGAGTGACAAACAACCCAACTCTTTCTCAAGGAACACTTTTATTTTAGTTCCAGTGAAGATCCATCAAATTTTTCATTGCTCTGTACCCTCCATGTCCTCTCCATCCCATGCACCTTCTTCTTCCTCCTATTTAACCTGAGAATGCAGGAAGAATTTAAGATGATATAATAAATGTTAATTTCTCAATATTGAAGAGTGTACCACATCCTTTGAGATAGCCCAGGCAAGAAACAGGGTTATTTTGAATTTCGTTCTTACATTTCTGTGTATCTCAGAACCATATATCCTCTTCTTCAGATTCTCCCTAAGCATCCCAAAGGTGATTTTTCCAAAAGGCAACTGGACTTTCTGAACTAAATAAGTTTCTTGGATGAGAAGCAAAACATTTTCAAAGAAAAAGGTGCATTTTGTAAAAAGCACCTTTGAGACTAACCATGACCTGGATGGTTGAGAATCTCCATAGGCATTTGCCTCTAATGTCAGTTCTAAATTCCTTTACAAACACAATGGATAGAATCAGGTTTTTTCTTCTCAGTTTAAGTGGACTTTTAGTGCAACACAGGACTAGTGCATTTGCAAAACGGCATTAAACCTCAGTTGATGTGGAACCTGCATAAGATTTGATATGTATTTTAGACAGTGTCCGTAAGTTACTGTACTGACTTGTGCCTCCATGGAAACCAGTCGTCCTCTCTTGTTCAGGAGGAAAGCAAAATGGAGGGCAGTTGCAATGATGGGAGGGAAGTGGTTTGATGATGTCAACAGCCATTGGTAAAGCCTGACACATTGTGTCATGGCAAAAACTGTGCTGGGAAACACTGCTGTTAAATAGGAATATTTAAAGATAATTTTAGGCTAACTCAGCTGTCAGGGAATAAGATAAAGGCAACATCATGAGGATATGGCAAGAAAAGGGTTACCAAAATGTGAAGATAAGTCCTCATATTGTACTCATGTTGATAATTCCTCTAGGAACAGCATTGTTATTAGAAATCTGTGATAGCACACAGTGAGGAAGTTGCAGCTGAGTCAGTGTCTCAGAATAAAATTGCGATTATTTTGTATGATATAACAATACATAAATTGTTCTGTGTGGATACCTAAATTAGATAACCACCTAATTAGATAACTGTCCCAGACACCTTCAGAGTTTCTTCTATGTTATCAAGTAAAATACACTTTATTGTTGAGAATGCATATGTATAAATTCATGTAGAGATTAAGCAGAAAGTAATCTGTGTGTGTTATCTACTCACTGTAAACCAGTACTTATTGACAGATTATCCCATTGTTGAACTATAGAACTGACATTGGGATACAAACTATGAACCTAGAAGCTAAAAATGATAGCACAATTCACTTAGGTCTCACTCAACATTATGTGTTGTATCCAATCTGTATTTTCTTATTATCAAAAAAGGTCAAATTTTTAAGAAAATCTATAATGCCTATTGATTAGTGTTTGCTTTTTTGTTTATACCATGTTTCTCCAAAAAGATGACCCCCTTTGAAAAGAAGCCCTTTCACGTTTTTGAGCGCATGCAATCAAATTAAGCCACACCCACAAAATTAGGCCTAATTAAGACTCCGCTCACTTTGGGGTACAGGGGATGGGGCGAGGCACACAGGTAAAAAATAAGCTAGGATGGGGGTGGAGCTGCCCTACTTACCAGGCCTAGCACACCCCGACACCTTCCTCGCTGCCTTCTGCGGCCACTTGCTGCGACTTGCACGCACCACCCTGGCCTCTGTTTTGCCTTCAGATGCTTTCCAGAAAGCCCTCTGCAGCTGATAATAGAGCTCCAGATCTATCCGGAGCTCTATTAATGGCTGCAGAGAGCTTTCTGGCAGGTATCTGAAGGTAAAAGGGAGACCGGGGTGATGCGTGCAAGTGGTGGAAAGCTGCCTCAGAAGAAGAGGGGCCAGCAGCGGGCTCTTGGGTGGGGCTGTCAGTGCCACTACCACAAGGTGAGTCAATAATTAGAACCCTCCAAAAAGAAGGCCTAACCATTTTTTCGGGTGTCAAAAGAAAATAAGACCCGGCCTTCTTTTTGGAGAAATACAGGTAGTTTACTCAAACACATACAGAGGACTATTTTGGGAGAAATGTGAGTTATAATTATGCTAAATAAGCTATTATAGGGTGCAAAAAGTATCATTATTAATTCTGCCTTTGCTTGGCCCAAAAAATTATTCAGGTTGTAGTCATCAATTCAAAATTCACTGCTAATATTGCTGTTGTATAATTTCTCTTTATTGCAGTCATTTTTTCATTCCTGTTAGAATAAATTAGGCATCTGTATAATGTAAATTATTTTAATCTGTTTTGAATACTTTATTTTGCATTGTATCATTGATGAATAGATATAGTTTGCACTATGAAAGGAACCTTTCTGCTGCAGAATGAATTGGAATCTAGCAAGCTTTGATCCACAAAACAGACAGGGTTTTTTTTCCAATTCATCATTCTACTGCAGTTCATTCTGTTCTGGAAACTTTCTCAGCCTCAACAACAGATTGTTAGGGAATTGATTGGTGAGAACACTCAATCCCTAGCAGAGCTCTTGTTGAACACTCTATATATGATACTTTGATATGGTTTCTGCTATCTTATGAAAAACAAAACAGAAACATTCCAACATTTCTTTAACTGACTAAGGTTTGCTGAGAGAAAAATGAAAAATAAAGTAATTACTTTAGTAACTGATAATGGGACTGAATTTGTTAACAAAAGATTCCAAACTATGCTGAAATTGGCTGGTGTTGAGCATAAACGTTCTGCACCTTACAGACCACAACATAACTCATTTGTAGAACGAAGAGGGCAAACATTACAAGCCATGGCTCGCACTATGTTATCTGATTCAGGTTTACCTGAACCACTGTGGGGTGAAGCCATAATGTGTAGTAACCATGTTTTAAACAATGTAGTTAATACAACAACTGGAGAATTGACATTCACTCATTGGCATGGCAGAAAACCAAATTTAATTTACCTACACATATTTGGAGCTCCAGCATGGGTGCATATTCCCTCACAAGTAAGACTGAAAGGGCAACATAGAGCTAAGAAGTTATTTTTTGTGGGTTATGAGGCCAACCATAGATCATTTAGATTCTGGAATCAAGGCACAGCTCATGTTTATTGTAGTGCTAGTGCAAAATTTCTCGAGCACGTTGGGTGGGATAAACTGGAACAGGAATCCAGCAATGATATTATTATTGACACCCAAATAGTCCCTAAAGATATCAGTAAACAACAAATAGCCATTAAAGAGGAAGCACAAGAGGAAGTAGGAGAACAGGCACAGGAGGAGGTAGAAGAACAGGAGCAGGTGGCACAGGAAAGTCCACCAGTTAGCCCTGTATTACCAAGACGTTCAACCCGAGTAACATGACCACCTGATAGATATCAGGCTACTGTTGTATGCCAAGTGAATACAGTTCCAAGTAATTATAGTGAACTGAAAATGTATCCCGCTAAGGACCAGACTGCTTGGCAGAAAGCAATAGATAAGGAACTAGAATCTTTAAAAAAACTGGATGTGTACGAAAATGTTAAGTTACCACCAGGTAAATGTGCCATAGGATGTAAATGGATATATAAGCTAAAGACAGGTGTAGATGGGACTGTAACTCATAAAGCCAGGTTAGTAGCACACGGGTTCAATCAGACAGCAAATGACTATGATGAGGTGTTTGCACCTAGTCTGAAGGCTACTACATTAAGGGCAGCATTAGTGTGGGCAGCTAAGGAGAAATACATTGTAAATCATTTGGATGTAGAGACAGCATATCTGCATGCACCATTGCAACACACTATTTATTTAAAGAAACCTTTAGATATCAAAGATGATAATAATGATTGCTGGAAATTGAAAAAGAGTCTTTATGGTTTGAAGCAATCAGGATATGAGTGGAACCAATGTATAGTTAAAGAATTAACTGAGATAGGCTTTGTAGCTGGCATGGCTGATCCATGTTTGTTTAAAAGAGAAAGTAATGGTATGATTTCATTGTTGTTATTATTTACTGATGACATAGCATTAATCACCAAAACTGAACAAGAAGCTACTGAGATAATTTCACTATTGGAAAAGAAATTTAAGATAAAACAATTAGGAGAAATCAAACAATATCTTGATTTAAAGATAGATAGAACTAGAGGAGGATACAAGATCTCACAAGCAGATAAAATTAACCAATTACTAAAAAGTTATAAAATGGAACTTTGTAAGCCGGCTAAAACACCGATGAGCCAGGAGTTTAGCCATAGTGATGTTCAAAGTCCAATTTTTGATAAGAACATTTATCAGTCCTTGATTGGTAGTTTATCTTATCTCAGTAATTGGTCAAGGCCAGATTTTGCATACAGTGTTAATCAGTTAGCGAGATTTAATGCTGAGCCAACTGAAAGGCACTGGCAAGCTGCTAAACGTGTTAAAATATCTGAAACAAACAATGCACCATGCATTGTATTTGGAGCCTAAAAATGAACTGAATTTAACTGCATATGCTGATGCAGATTTTGCTACAGACATAAATACACAAAAATCTACATTGGGTACTGCTGTATTATTGGGAAAAGCATTGATTGGATAGAGGTCTATTAGACAGAAACATCTAAGTTTGTCAACAATGGAGGCTGAATTCTCATGTTTGCCTTTATTATGTACAGATTTAGTTTTGTATAAGCAATTATTAATTGATATGGGAATTGCTGTAAAAGATCCTATTGTTGTTTATGAAGATAACCAATCAGCAATACAGATGGCTTCAAATATTGCTGTTAAAACAAGAATGAAACACACAGATTTAAGATATTTAAATGTGAGACAATGTGTGCAAAGTAAGATGATTAAGCTAGAATACTGTATGTCAGAAAACAATAAAGCAGATCATTTTACAAAGGCCCAAGGCTCTATAAAGCATAAGGCTAGCTGTGAAGATTATGGACTTAGAATGTAAGGTTGTCTATATTGTCTTACCCAAAAGGGGAGAATGTTAGGAATATAAGTCACCTAACAGGTATTTGGGTTAGAAATATATAAACCAGGATAAACATTTTAGTACTATATCTTTAAGACATTGCAAAAACTGCAATTGGGTGTGGTTTTTCAAACGGCCATAAGATGGAGCCAGAAACCTGGATTGTTTTAGTCTTAGTCTCAGAAGAGAGTGTGTCTGAGTGAGTAACTCTGTTTCCTTCTGTTGGAAAGTATTGCCGTTCCTCCATTTCTTCTAATTGACTGATATTACTGGATTTAATGTAAGTCTGTTACTGAACTGTTTTTTGACACTGGACTTTGATATTTGGATTATCCCTGGATTGAAAACTGACTGATTTAATTTATGAATGATTTTGGATTGCTTATTTTGGACTTTGCTTAACGTTTCTGAAAGTAAAAACCTACATTTACTGTACAGTGTATCTCTGTGCTGTATGTGTATTATTCAAACACTACTCTCAAATACGTCTCCCTGTATGCGCTCATTCTCCTAACGGGGAATTACCTCAACAGAAATGAGCGGCAGCAGTGGCACTGCTGCGGCAGGCAGCCCTGGGACATCCTCTTGTCCTCCTGAAGCACCTCCACTGCCACTCACTTTCTTCCTTCTACTGGGGGACAAAAGGAAGAAAGTGAGAGGTGGCAGCAGCAGCCTCGGGACATCCTCCCTCTCTCCCAGAGAGCTGCACTGCAGTCGCCACATGGTATGGAGAGCTGGGACAGTGCTGCGTGGTGGCTTAGCCAGCTAGCCAAGCCCAGGGACAGTGGGGGGCCTCAGCAAGCTACGGGGCCAGGAAAGATCCGGGAATGGTGGGGGGGCCCTGGTGGCAGCAAGATCTGGGAACTTTGGGGGGGCTAGCGTGACTCGCAGGCTTACCTATGAGCAGGGAGATCACAGCTGCTTAGTTGGGGGCGCAGGCACCATGTGGAAAAGCAGGTTAAAGGCAAGCCACAAGGACCCAGTGTGACGCATAGGAGGTGAGGAGTGACTGGGCAGGGTAAGTGTCAGGCAGGTTGGCGGGCGGGGTGGGGGCATGGCCAGTCACAAGTCACTACTGGTTCGGAGGCCCACGCCAAATCGTCATTACCAGTTTGCCCGAACTGGCTGAATACCACCACTGATCCAATACAAACATAATTAATTCCGTCCAGTTAATCATGTTTTAATAAATAATTTCCCTCATCCTCTTGCTCCCTTTTTTGCCAGATTTTCTTGAATGAGTGTCATGTGGCTAACTTTTTTTTCCAAATGAGGGTTTCAAAATGATGGTGTTTCAGTTAAGCTATTATGTAGCAAATCCTTAGAGGTAATAGTAAAATAAGTAAATTAACCACCTGCCTGCAATGAAGGTGTTAAAGAACCTTGTTTTTTTTAGAAAGGGAAAAAAGAAGGAATATTGTCACAGAATTCAGTTTATTTTGCTCAAGTCTGGACACTTATAAAATTGCTGTTCCAAAACTCAGTATCATTACATGTTAATTGTAGACAATATTTAATTCAAATTTGACCTTATTCAATGTCCATGTTTGTTTCACAGGAAAGAAAGACAAAATAGTGTCGAATATAAACTGTACTATAGAAATCTTATTTTCTAATAGTTTTATCATGAAAGTGATGTTTTATCTAAATGTAGAATAGAATAGAATAGAATAGAATAGAATAGAATAGAATAGAATAATAGAGTTGGAAGGGACCAACCCCCTGCTTAGGGAGGAAACCATACACCACTTCAGACAAACGATTATCCAACATCTTTTTAAAAACTTCCAAAGTTGGAGCATTCACAATTTCTGGAAACAAGTTGTTCCACTAGTTAATTGTTCTAACTGTCAGGAAATTTCCACTTAGTTCTAGATTTGTCTCTCTCCTTGATTAGTTTCCACCCATTGCTTCTTGTCTTGCACTCAGGTGCTTTGGAGAATAGCTTGACTCCCTCTTCTTTATAGCAGCCCCTGAGATATTGGAACACTGCTATCATGTCACCCTTCATCCTTCTTTTCATTAAACTAGACATACACAGTTCCTGCAACCGATCTTCATATGTTTTAGCCTCCAGTCCCCTTATCATCTTTGTTGCTCTTCTCTGCACTCTTTCTAGAGTCTCAACATCTTTTTTACATCGTGGCGATCAAAACTGAATGCAGTATTCCAAGTGTGGCCTTACCAAGGCATTACAAAATGGTATTAACACTTCACGTGATCTTGATTCTATCCCTCTGTTTACGCAGCCTAGAACTGTGTTGGCTTTAGTTGAGATCCATTAGCAGCTTCATATTTAGAGTGAGTTATAACGTTGCATCATTTAATATTATGAATAGTTTTATTTCCTCACAGTGTTATTAACAAATTATCTTACATTTTAGTTGTTCAAGAATCAAAGACACTTAAAACAAGACCAAGGTCCAGGTAAGTAAGCAAAAATAAAAAGTCAGTCAATCAATCAGTATTTATTTTAGTATTTTTGCATCAAATTGCAATTCTAAATTAGATGAAGATATTTAGCTATTACAGTAATTCAAATAATACTTTTGAAGTGGACCTTCAAATACTATATTGAATTTGTCGGACAGGTACTAATTTATTTTTGAATGCTTTTGACTGACAACTTCTGTGCCCAATAGTTTTGATATAAAAATACATCACATAAACTGTTTTAGATAGAATTCATTCCTCAAAAATAAGCATTTCATTTAGTAAACAGCACTTCTCTTTTATTTCTGCAGTTTTAATTGCCTAAAAAATTTTATGATATAGTTTACTAGATAATTATTTTGTTTTTGTGAAATGCATGGATTTTATTTATTGTGATCCAAGATATTTGAAATATACACGTTTCCAAGAGTAAAGACTGATTTGAAAGCAATAAAACAAAGCAAAAATAACTCTAGCCCCAACTTTTCAAAAGTCAGCTTTATTTGACTTGTAGTTGCTAAACTCTGCCTCTTTTTAATTCACTTTTGGAAGGGTCTTCAAAGTGCCTGGGAATGTGAACAGTATTTGGGTCTAGTTCAGTGGAGTTCCCTTCTGCTTCTTTTAATTATTCTTTTTGGTTCACCATTTTCTCTATTGGATTTTGCTTTTGTTTCTTTTGTTTTTTTAATGATGTGTGCTTTTATTAATGTTTATTTTTATTAAATACCTCCTGGAATCATATTGGTTGAAAAGTCAGAGACCTTATAAATGTGTGAAATAAATATCTGCAACTCCTTTCTACATTTCTACATTCAACCATTCTACATTTTCTATATAACTTCTCCCCTCTTTCAACTTTCTTAATTTTATTTTATTTATTTCATCTCAATTCAAACCATCATACTTATATTCTTTGTCTGTCCTGTTTCAGCAGTCTATTATCTTTTCTCATTAAGCAAAATTTCTCCTGTGATCACTGATTGGAGTATGATGCCTTTATATCTTTCCCCTAAAATTATAACACTTAATATAATACATAACTTCCATTCGTATTCTGCTTGGTACATTCTAAAACTAAACAATGTGGGTTTTTTTAAAAAAAAATTATAAATATATAACATAATTAAAACAACAATCCATACCAATTCAATTCTATCATTAATATTCATTTAAATCTTGAACATTTTACACATTACTTTTCAAATAACTATCATACTTCTATGGAAACACTTATAAACTTTCCACAATTACTTCCCTCCCACTTCACTTATATTTTATAAAACGTGGAGTAGTTAAAATGTTCCCATTCCTTCCTAGTTCAATTCTCTCATTTAATTCATTTCATTTATTTTATTCACAAAAGTTTCACGAAATTACACTAACTATTTTATTCCACTTTTTAATCATATGTTGTTTCCAATTTTCTAACATTATTTCTATTACAAATATAACAATACAATCTTATGTACCTTTACAGAATCCCCTTTTCAGTTAAATTTTCACTCATTATCTCTGAATAAATCCTGTTTCTTTACATCTTGCTCCAGACCTTTGTAACTTCTCTTCCCTTACTTCTTCCCTTTCTTCCCTCTCCCCTTTTTACCCCGCTGTCTCTCCACCTCCATTTCCCTCTTCTGTATTCCCCTTTTCTGTTGCTTTCCAACATTATATCCCCTTTCACATTATTTTTCCCTTTTTTTAGGTCTTAGATTCTCCATTCTCTTTCCCCGCTTTCCCTTTTCTTCCCCAGATAGAATTACTTGTTCATTAAAAATGGCTTCTTCTTTGTCCCAATCTTCTTGTTGCACCGTCTTTTCTTGTTGTTTCTTGTAGACACCAATCGCCATTTCTAAAAATTGAAAAATGGAACCAAAGGAGCCCTTCCCTTCTTGTTCCTCTTCTTTATATTTTTTAAATTCGATTTTCAGTTCATTCAGTTCATCCAGAGGTGATGCCATTGTAGGGTTTTTTTTTAAACAACCACCCAATTGTTTTTAGTCATTCAAATATGATTTCCAAAAGTCCCAAAGTCACCAAACAATCCAAATACACACAAGCTGTTTCTTTTAACACTTTCTTCTTTTTTCACTTTCTCTTCTTGGGGTTACTATTTAGTTGCAAAGTTCCAGTTAAAATGTATCCTTTAGAAGTCTTGTTCAGATTTAACTTTAAATTCTTTTGAATTCCAAGCAGTCTCCTCTTTCCAAGTCCTGCCCTTATTCATTTCCTCTTCCTTCCCACTTATAGCAAAAAAAAAAAAAAGATTTTTTAGTGTTCAGAAATCTTTATTGTCCCTTTGGCATTTAATTACATTTCCAGTTTAATTACCTGTTGGTGTCAAAGCGGATTTTTCTGATTTCTTTATTCAGATCTTCTCGTTCTCAGCATGAGGAAGGAGAGTGAAGAAAAAAAAAACTTTCCCTTTTCACTTTCGTTCGCTGCTTCCAACTCTTCTTTGGGAGCGATGTATCTTTTTGCAAAATTTAAATTCCAGGGTACCTTAGTTGTTACTTTTTGTCCCGGTCAGCCAAAAACTTTCACTTCTTAACTTCCTCCTGCACTTTCTTTTCCGGCTGAGTGCTTCTTTGAGGCGGCCATTTCTGACCACCACTCTTACCGCCTTTGGGAAAGGGAGTTTATCCAACTGAGGAGAGGTGCGGCTCCCCTCGACCCTGCTGGGTCTCCCCCTCTTCACCACCTCTACGGAGTGGCTTAGCCCCGAAGCCAGCTGGCTCGGGGCACTCCAGCGGCGAGCCCAGGCAGAAACTGCGCACAATCACAGATTCCTGCCTGCTGCTGAAGCCCTGCAAACCGGAATTCCCCAATATCTGCAACTCCTAAAAGCAGACTTTTCCTATGATTTTGCAGCAGCTACAAAGTATAGTCACATAATCCTTTAAAAAGACATAACTGCTTGATGGATGCTACATTCATAATCCTCCACACTCCGAAGTATTTTTGGTATCAAATACAAAAAGTGGCACAGCTCTCTGAATCCATTGTTCCTCATGTGTTTCTTATTTTTTGTATGTATTCCCTGGAAACTTACTACTTCCAGTTTAAACAGATTCTTTCCCATAACAATTTGCCAGATACTAAATTGAGTTATCTTTTAAAAAAATGAGGGGAAGAAGTCAGAAGCAGATGTGCAAGTTTCTATAAATGATTAAATACTGTATATTCATTTTGTATGTATAAAACATATACCCTGATTCTCCTGAAAACAAAGACCTACTCTGGAGTAACGCCACTCCAGGTACTCTAAGGAACAGTTTCATCCTGTCCGCTATTATACCAGTCATCCTTAAGAAGAAGACATTATTTTTGTAAGCACCCATTCCTTCAATTCTTTATTAAGGAGATGTTGATGAATCATACAAAGAAGTTCAATTTCAGGCAAACTATCAGGGCACTGTCCAAACAGAAAAGTAGGGATATATCATAATTTAATGAATAGCTTCCAATATATATATAAATATATACAATTAGTTTCCAGTAAGACAGTTTGATATGCTGGTTAAGGTATTTATGATATACAAGTAGGACTGAGAAGATTCAGACATTGGGTAACTTTGGGTCAGTAGTACATTCTAGGCAAAACTGCATCTAGGACATCTCACAATGGCCAACTTGCCACAGCCAATTCACCGTTAACAACTTACCATGGTCAATTCGCCACAGGACAAGAATTACACTAATACCAAGAAATGGTGGAATAGAGTAATTAAATAAAGAATGCCAAAGGAGGGACAAAATGAAAACTGAATGACAAAAATTAAAATAATTTTTAATAATTCTAAATAATTAAATAGAAGTCTTGAATTGTCCTACGGCGAGTTGTTATATTCTGGGCAAAACTACCTCATATGGTTTTTTTATGCAGTTAAACTGGATTGTCATGTAAATTTCTTTCAGCTCTTGTATAAAAGATAAGATATATCTTTGATGAGTCATGAATGATAGTATAATGAAAAAAGAGTGCTTAGAACTATTTGTAGTATGAGCAAAAAGCATCAATAATTTTTCTTTTTTCAATTTCATATTTTTCCTCTGAGGTCTTACTCCAGCACATCTGTTGAAGATACAATGAACAAAGGGGGAGAACCACCAGCTCCACCACCACGACCTCGAAAATCACATTCCAGAGCCTCCTCTTTAGACTTAAATAAAATTTTCCAGCAAAACACTCAAGGTAAGCTGTAGAAGGCTTTAAATTTCCCCAGAAACTAAAATAATAGTATTAAAAAATTCAGACAGTTTAAATTCTTATCTGCCAAACATCTTCCCTATTTTTTCCTGTAGTACAGTGTTTTTTAAAGTGTGCTGATAGAACCCCAAGACCCATTCAGGGATTTGAAAAAATACAGCTAGATTTTTGTTGAAAAAAATGGTACCATATCAAGCAATCATGAGAAGTCATAGTAGCACCAAATGCATCAATTATATGTTTAGTATGGTAAACAATGTATATAACCTATACAAGAAAAATGCTTTTTAATTCTTCAATAATTTTTAAAAGTGGAAGAGAACCTGAAAGAAAATAATTTAAAAATACTAAAATAGTACATGGGGTATTTAAATACGTGATCCTTGGTAGCTGCAATGTAGTTGACATTTTAAATAGATAAATGAAACATAATAGAACTAAAGCCACAAAGAATTTCAGTGGAGTTACTAGAGACAGTGACAGATAGTCTTTAACTTACAGCAGTTCTTTTAGTGACCATTCAAAGTTACAACGACACTGAAAAAAGTGACTCATGATTGTTTTTCACACTTACAACTGTTGCAGCATTCCTATGGTCACATGATAATTTAGATGCTTATCAACTGACTCACAGTTATAATGGCTGCAGTGTCCCGGAGTCATGTGATCCCCTTTTGCGAGCTTCTGACAAAGTCAATGGAGAAGACTGATTCACTTAACAACCTTTTTTTTTGTAAGCAAGTTTTTTATTTCAATCTACATATACACAACAATACAGTAACAGTGTGGCATCAATATATGATACATTTTAGTATAGGCAAAATTAATAATACCAATCATATCTCTTAATACACATATTCACATTAAGTCATACTCCCTCATTGCTTATTTTCAACATTTCAGTACTCTCTCCTAATGCCAACCACCATATCGGTTAAACATACCTAGTAATTTCATTATTCAATTTCTTCCCTAATTTTATTTATTTTTTAATAAAAAAAATTCTCATTTGGCAAGCAGTATGGTTCCAGGTTTCACATCTCAATACAAACATGACCATAGTTACCTATTCATTTTCTTTATTCAATTTCATATCACATTATCCTTATTAATATTAAGTATAAAATTTATCTTACCGAATTCCAATTCATATTATAACTTGTTTCATTTTTCTTAGGATATTCTCATATCTTAGTTTACAGTGTTATCTAAAATTCTCATCTCATTTCTATGTTCATATCCGATATTACCTTTTTCTGTCACATTTGTAATTTTATCAATCCTTATTTTATTAATTCAAAATTGTCCCCTCTGGTTAATAATTCAAGCTAGCCACCTTCATTCTACCTTATTACCATTCTCCCTGTTTACTATATAACACACACACACACACACACACACACACACACACACATTTCTTAAGTTTTCGCGGATACTTACATATATGGTATTCAGCTTTGTTCAAGTATTTTCCCACATCATTATAGTTGTGCTTTTAAAGTTGTAGCAATGTTTCGGCAGAATCTCATCTGCCATCATCCGGCTTCTGTATTGTGTTCGTCTGTGAGTCAGACTTTTACAGTTGTTTCAGTTTTAAATTTGGGGCTAGCCTACTGCTGTGCTAGAATGTTTTTTTCTTTCTCCTGATTGGTTGGGAATCTTGGTCTGTGTTTATTGGTCTTGGAGTTTGCTGTGTTCTGCTTGATTGGTGTTTCTAATATCTTCTGTCTGTTTTGTGGCTTTTTTTGTGTCTTGATTGGCTGGCAACATTGTGTTCCTGTATTGGAGGCTTTGAGTGCAGCTTGGCTCCGAGTAAATGGACAGCTATCATTTGTTAGGAAGCTAGGTTTCATCTGGGTGCCTGGTTGGGGTGTGTTTGAGGTGGAGGTATCAGGGGGAATCTGTTTGTGCCCAGGTGTTTGCCTGGCTAGTGGTATGGAGATTTTTTTGTTTGTGAGTGCAGGCTTCCAAATAATTGACAGTCTGGTGGAATAATCCCTTTTATTCATGCTTTCAGGTCTTTTTTCAGTCTCTATGGCTTCTCTGATAATTCTGTGGCTGGGGTTTTCTAGCTACAAAACAGACAGAAGATATTAGAAACACCAATCAAGCAGAACACAGCAAACCCCAAGACCAATAAACCCAGACCAAGACTCCCAACCAATCAGGATGAAGAAAAAACTATTTTGGCACAGCAGTAGGCTAGCCCCAAATTTAAAACTGAAACAACTGTAAAAGTCTGACTCACAGACGAACACAATACAGAAGCCTGATGATGGCAGATGAGATTGTGCCGAAACGTTGCTACAACTTTAAAAGTACAGCTATAATGACTTGGGAAAATACCCAAACAAAGCTGAATACCATACATGTAAGTACCCGTGAAAACTTAAGAAATATATATCTATATACACACATACACACACACACATACCCACAGTAGTAATGGATAGAAAAGACTACAAAACAAAATTGACAGACCTACTCCAAGACTCCACATACAAACCCATAAACACAGACCCAACCACATATCTGGAAAAATTAACCAAGAAGAAAATTATAACCAGCCACATGAGCAAAGAGATCCAACAGACGATCATCCCAAGAGAAAAATCTTCCAGATGCCCCAAACTATATGGCTTCCCCAAAATACACAAAGAAGACATACCTCTCAGACCCATAGTCAGCTCCAGAGGAGCACCATTACAAAACCTAGCCAAATACCTAGCAAAGTAGCTACAGCCCCATGCTGAAGCAGTAGCTTCACATGTACAAAACTCATACCACCTCTTGGAAATGATTAAAGATCTACACGTGGAACAAAAAGATCTGCTTGTAAGTTTCGATGTGGTTTCACTATTCACTCAAGTCCCAATAAAAGAAACCCTCGAAATCGTCAAAAATAAATAACAAACACCCAAACACCTCATGGAACTAGCAGAACACTGCTTAACCAACACATATTTCATATACAAAGGACAAAGATACAAGCAAATTGAAGGAGCCCCTGTGGGATCACCACTGTCACTCGTCATTGCAAACTATTCATGGAAGAATTTGAATCCAAGCCCTAGCCAATGCCACCCACAAACCCAAACTATGGTTAAGATACATAGATGACACATTTGTTATTTGGCCCCATGGAAAAGAAAACCTAAACAATTTCCTAACACACCTAAACAGCACACACCCCAAAATCAAATTCACCATGGAAACAGAAACAAACTACCATTCCTAGATATACTAATCTCCAAAAAAAAACAACAGATGGCACACTAGGACACACCGTATACCAGAAGAAACACACCAACTGCTACCTCAACGCCCAATACCACCACCACCCAGCACAGATAAACTCCGTGGCCAAAATACTAATTGCCAGAACCAAACGCCTGGCGGACAAGACTCACATAAAGACTGAACTATGCACCCTACCTAAAGTACCGACAGCCAACAGCTTCCACAAAAGCAAAATCACAGGCCTGATCCACAAAAACACACTGAGACATAATGGAGACCTAGAAGATGAACAGACCTATGGAACAGCTGTCCTGCCCTACATAAGAGGTACTACAGACAAAATCAGTAAGATACTACACAGGCATCACATCAAGACTGCCTTCAAAACAGACAGAAAAATAGCAGCCATCCTAAGAAACCTCAAAGATAAAATTGACCTGAAAAACCAAGGCATATATGAAGTCCCCTGTGCATCATGCCCTGCCATTGGACAGACCAATAGAAGAATAAGTACCCGCTTGGATGAACACAAAAATGCAGTAAAAATGCTGGAACACACTTCCTCACTAGTCCAACACATGAAAGCCACAGGTCATAGCATTGACTTCAATGGCACCAAAACCCTAGCCACTATAGAAAACCCCAGCCACAGAATTATCAGAGAAACCATAGAGATTGAAAAAAGACCTGAAAGCATGAATAGAAGAGATGATTCCACCAGACTGTCAATTATTTGGAAGCCTGCACTCACAAACAAAAAAATCTCCACACCACAAGCCAGGCAAACACCTGGGCACAAACAGATCCCCCCTGATACCTCCAGCTCAAACACCACCCCAACCAGGCACCAGATGAAACCTAGCTTCCTAATAAATGATAGCTGTCCGTTTACCCGTAGCCAAGCTGCACTAAAAGCCTCCAATACAGGAAACACAATGTTGCCAGCCAACCAAGACCAAAAAAAAAAAAGGTTACAAAACAGACAGAAGATATTAGAAACACCAATCAAGCAGAACACAGCAAACTCCAAGACCAATAAACACAGTCCAAGACTCCAACCAATCAGGATGAAGAAAAAACCATTCTGGCACAGCAATAGGCTAGCACCAAATTTAAAACAGAAACGGCTGTGAAAGCCTGACTCACAGAGGAACACAATACACAAACCTGATGATGGCAGATGAGATTCTGCTGAAACATCACTACAACTTTAAAAGCACAACTATAATGTGGGAAAATACCTGAACAAAGCTAAATACCATACATATAAATAACCACGAAAACTTAAGAAAAGATATATAAAGAGAGAGAGAGAGAGGGAGGGAGAGTGTCAGATTTTTCATTACATTTTCTCCTTATAAGTCATCTATACATTACAAAAGTATTAATCTAAACAATTAATTATAGCAATTGATATTAATATTTCCATAATGTTACTTATTTCATCTTTTTCTTTTCTTATACATCACTAATCATCACTTAATATATAATATTCTTATTATACCGATTTCTATATTTATTTCATTAAGTTCCATGTCTAATGTAGTAATAATCCTTTAATAAAAAAGAGAGAGACTAAAAAAACCCCATATCAGTTACATACTTATCTATTTTCATTACTTATTCTTATATATCACAACATATTATCTTGCAGAATCTCCTTCCCTTTCTTTTTTTTCACCCATTATCTCTCGGTCTTCTAGCAATGTAATTGCTTTTCATCCTTGTTAGCTTCCTGTTTCTCT